AGGTCGAATACCGCAGGACAATTTCGCGTTATCTCCGATAATACATATTACACGACAGTCCTTCTTCTCCATTGGAAAATCTCCACGTGAAATCGCAGTCGCGAATACATTCGTTCCAGGTTTCATCGAAAGGGCGTCATGAAATCCTCTGAATCCTTAAGCCGATCTGCTCTCATACTGTATGGCCCCATGTCCGTATTCAGACCGAAGATCCTTCCGCTCGAGAGGAGACCGCCGATCGTAGAGAAAAAAAAGGAGCATCGGAGTAAACAGGATGAGGGGTTGCTGTCGAAGCACGTCGTCCGCGTTTCTGCCACGGTACGAAATCGGAGATCGCCGGTTTTATTCCGACATAATGCCGGGCTTGCGCTCCGCGACCCTTGCCAATGCAAGTGTTCGGGTTCCCAGCCGGCGGCGAACGGACGTGCGAGCGCGAAATCGACCGCGCTCGCATTTCGGCTCGCTCGCTCGCTCGCTCGCTCGACGTGCCTCGTAAATTCGCGACGGATACCTGGGGGCACCGTATCGCGCGCCCGTTAGATCCTCGTAAAGTTCCGGGTGTTACGCGATACGCGGCCCGGGTTCGCACAACGGAGAGACTCGCGTCCCCGATCTCTCGCACCCTCCCCTCCGGTACAGCTCGATAAACTCGCGACTCGACAGCGGTCGTTGCCGGCTGCCCCGAGCGAGCGCAGCAGTCGATAGCACCCTTGGAATACGGACCGAACGGCATTAACGTTTCGAGAACGAGCGGATAAACCTGCATCTGAAACACGAATTCCAATAAAAATAACCCAATTGATTGATAATGGAAGATTAAAGCAGGATACAACACGGTCTGTCGATCAAAAATTGATCACAGTCAGCAGATTGCTAAAAAAAACTAAGATAATGAAAAAATGTGATATTACAGAACGATGTTATTTATAATAAATGCGAATATAGATGTTGTAATGAACGTTTATAAATATTATTAAGAATTGATAGATGAGGTAAAGCGAAAATAGAGAAAAAAATTAGTAGTTTCTGATTAGTTCAAATTTAAAATTCAACTTTATCTTAACAAATTTGAGATACTAATTAGTTTTTAATTATAAGTAATTAAAAATGAAGGAATTTTTGAAAATTGAACTTCGGAGGTGATAATAATTATAAGACACCATTTCTTATTTAATTTTAAAAATTTAGGGACTATATGGTTGCAAAAATATTTAATAGACATGACAACTCCATTGGAGTTTTTAATGATAAAACTCAGCTTTGGATAGAAAAAACTGGTACTCGTGAAAAGCGATTCGCCAGTCTGCGTATTCGCGTGTAGGGGGTGCATGCGTTGTACATTTTTAAAATTTTGTCGCTTTTGATTCGAGCTCTCGATTGGTTTTCAATTTTTTTCATGGACATAAAAATCCGCGCGATCGCGTCGATGGAGAGTCGCAACGAGTCGCGCTCGCAGAATCCCATCGGCGTGCCCGCTGACCGCGCGGTTTAACAGCGCGGGCCGCACGTTTCGCTCTTCGTAACCTCGTTACGCGTGGAAGGGATCAAAGTATCGGCAAAGTGACTTATACCCAACCCGACGTGGGCAATGGCGGTGAGCGAACGTTCTCCATCCGCTCCCTCCCCTGTCCCCGAAAGTAGCCCACCCTTTCGTGCGGGTCTGCGGGCCTTGATTACATTAGACCCTTGGATTGGGACGAAGGGCTCGGGAGCGAGGTGGAAGCTCGTGAGAAGGAAAGACGATTCGTAGAACGATTTCCAAACCGCAACACCCACTTCCGGCTTACCGTCTGAAAAAGAATGTTCTCATTTCTTATTTGTCTCTCTCTTTTCTATTTTCCTGTACACAAACAAATCTGTACACACAAACGAAGTAATGCAATATTTCTTATACATTTTTTATCTACTTTGTAGGTCTTTATTTACTTTTTACAGAATTTCAGGATTTAAAAACAAAGATTTTCATTCATAATTTTATAACTATCGAACATTTAATTATACTAATACTAGCGTTGAGTCTGTTATTTAAATGTCTTATTACTTAATCGCCGTATGTGTAGTTTCTCTCAAATGAAGCAACGGCTTATCGATTCCGATAAGTCCGCAACGATATATATGATTATCGGAGTAAAAATTCAGCTCGCCCCGCAACTGGCCGAGTGAATCGTTTACAATCTGCTTTCCCGAATTTCTCCCGGTCGTGCCATTTACTTTTATCGCCATCGCAGTTTGATCTCATCTAGTAAGTGCTGCTACGTACGCGTGGGATGTCAAAAACGTCCGATCGAGGTGCTACGTCGCCCCGGTCGTCGACGTTGGGTTTACGGCAAAAGAGACGCGGGGACGTGAACGGGGGATGGGAACTTCCGGTTCTTCGCCCTCCCGGAGCTTCGTTGCCTCTTTCATCGCCGGCAGTAACCTTTGTTCCCGAATTCCCCGATTCCCGCGGTTTACCTCCGGGCTACGAACTCCGGGGGAATGTAACGGCGGACATTTCGTCGGAAGCGACGCATTTCTACGTGATGTATAAACATAATGGCAAAATTTGCGTCACATTACTGCCGTTCGCCCCTTCGTCGAGCTACAATGATTTATCGAATAAAAATATCGCATTTAAATAGAAAGCGAGTATACTTCGATTGCGAACAACAATTCCGTGAATTGGCGAAATCCGGGATTTTTCGCGATTTGCGTACGGTGTGATTGACGCGAAAATGGAAAACGCCCGTAATATCGGCACGTCTGCAACGAAGGCACGTAATAATGTGCGCTTTAATCGCTTCCACTACATTATAGCGGGCAGACAGAGGAGGAAGAGGAGGAGGAGGACGGGGGGGGAGGATGATATGAAACCATATGTAGTGAGATTAAAAGAATTACAAAACTTTTAATAACGTTACAAACTGCCATTAAAATAAATCTCATTGAAAATCGTCGAGTATGTCTTTCAGAACAAACAAAAACCGTACAAAAAGTCCAAAAAATTCATTGCTTCACAATCATCCGGTATGCGTTTGCAACACCTCGAAATTGCTCGATACACATAAAGTTATACGACTAGATAATTAAATTAACCGAAATAATTAATCGCTTTATGTCGATGCAAATGTACATCTTGCGTCCTTTTGCTTCTTCAAGAGCGTGAGCGGACGCAAGATTGGTAACCGGTATAATTAGGACAGCGAAAAAAGACGTGGTCATTAGCACGCGCTAAGCTAGGGGAGGAAAAGGGGGGGAGGGGGGAGCGCGGCGAAGTGGAGGGGGCGACCAGGTGTAAGGAGAGTTTCTTCGCGTTATTCAGAGTAATGAAGCAGATATGCAAAACTACTTAGACCGTCTCGTTCGGTCCACTTCTTCGTCTCTTTCTCATTCCTCCCTTTTCTCTCCATCGTCCTCCAGTCACCCTCGCCTCCCGGCCCGGTCTCTTCATCTTCTTCCTCTTTTTCTTCGTACCTCCGCCTCCGTCGTCGCTCTGTGTCTACTTCCTTCCCTTCCTTCGTCTCTTCCTTCATCTGCAAGGAGCGCCATCCGGCCATCTCTTCTCGCTCGGCCGGAGTAGAATAAAAGAGACGTAATGCCTCCGCCATTTGCATATTAAATTTGCCCCTTCATCCGTACGGCTCTATTCAAATGATTATTCTTTATCGTTCGCTTTGGTACGGTCAGCGGATAAGCTCGCGGCGGCGGAGACGGCACGAGATGCATCGCCGAAACTGTTTCTCTTTCTCTCTTTTCTCTCTTTCTCTTTGCCGACGCGCTCGACGCGGCCCGCGTAATTACGGACTTGAGGAAAATAAAAAAGGCAATCGCGTGGAAAAGCAAAATTGCAGAGTCGAATGGCGCGTGGAAGTGGAATCCAAGGCTGCAGCTACTCTCTACTCTCTGGAAATCGTTCCTCGATATCGGAAAACGGAGAGAGACGCCGTGCACGAAGGGAGAGCTGATCGATTATAAACCTATTATCCGCTCACGCACACAAGTATGTCCAAATAATATTTTTGCGATATATATTTTCGACGGTAAACTTGAATTTTTGAGTCTTCGAAAATTCTTCGTAGAAATGTGTAATCATACGGAAATTGTGCTAATTATTTTAACGATCTTAACATCTAAAAAATTTTATTTGAAACCATCATTATTGTACAAGACTATGACAATTATATCGCAATCAATCGTTGCGTTACTTACTATTTTTATTATTATTGCGGATTGTAAAATAGTAGATTATTCTGCTTAACTATAAAGTCATCAAAAAAGCTATTATTACACGAGCAGATCGCAATGACAAATCTACATCCCTTGTCAACGGTGTGTCCGCGTCGTTTTGTCATCGGGAATCTTCCACCTTTTAGGAAAACTAAAGAAGATAGGGTGACGGCGCGTTATACGCCCGACGTATATAGTCACCATGGCGACCAAGCGAGAACCGGCGCCATAATGAAATCCTGGAAATCCCGCGGATGTGGAAAACGGGCGAGTAGGTGGATACCTTCTCTCTATCGGGTCCCGCACGGACCCCGATTTCCTTCGAGTAGAAAGCTTTCAGAAACCCGATCGGACTGGCTTGCCCACGTTCGTCGCGAGAGAAGAGCTTCCTCTTTTTTTTTTTTACTCGCATCCGAACAGAGTCGGGCAGTCTCTTCGGGAGCCGACGTCTAGATCGCAGAGGATATAGATCGGGGCGGGACGATGCCGCGACTCTTTATTGCCACGCGGACAGTTTTATGAGATCCCACCTGGGGATATTCAGTCATTATCGCGAAATTCAATTAGAGATAGTTTAAACGGTTCAAGATCGCAATTAAGTGACCGATCGAGAAGCTCGTCCACCGCTCCTCCGCCGCGTAAATCCCATTGGGGAATTTATTAGTTTTAAAACGTCCGTGGAGTCTCTTCGGGATATATGGATCCGAACGGATCGCGCTCTCACGCTCGCTCGCCCGCTCGCCTCAACGGAGTAAATTAATAGCGTTATTTATGAAGCGAAGGACCACACCGCCATGCGCCCGGGTACTTTATTACCAGAAGGTTTTTGCGGATTGAAACAACCGAAGCCTTTGTACACGGCAGCACACGTCGCAAGAAGCATCGGTATAAATTTCTGGTCAGGCGCGCGCAACGACCACGTCCTCGTAATCCTGTTGTACAATCCTGGCAATAGCTTCTCCTTAACAGGGACAAGAAAACCTGCTGGGACGTACGGCCGGGATCGTCGCAGTGCGATCTATGAAATGTAATAGCACCGTCGCCGCACAAGCGGTATTAAATTTCAGGGGATTTCATTTGTCACCGGAGGTGGCGACAAAACAGGTTCATCGGGCGAGGGCGACAAACTGGGTCAAGCCACTGGGTATTTCTAGCGTTATTGACAGAGGGAAACATTTTTCAATGGAATTCCAATGGTAGCGCATTATTTAAACGTACCCTCAAAAGCGTCGATTATTATGTAATACGAGGATTCGCGTCTCAGTCGGGACGAAGTAATCGTTCATATGATTTTAGCACAATTTATACGATTTTAAAATCAGTTGCTCACAAAAATGGGTCTCTCGCGAAATGGCCCCCACGTGGAAAATTGAATTTTATTTAACGTCCGTGGGTGGTGGATCGCGCGGATTGCAATTGGAAAACTGCCAGATTGCATCTCTGTGAATGAGTCGCCCTCAGGAACCGGGTACAAACGTTGTACCGCTCCGAGTGCCAGATGTACCGAACCCCGGGCCGCAAACTGATTGAATAAATATATTTAATCTCCGCTGTAGATCGGCGAATGTGTTCCACGGATTGGAAAGCATCGATACCGTTCGAGCAAATGGCCGACAAATAATAACCAAGGAATTTTAGTATCGCGACACAAAAAACAACAGACACACTCCAGTATCCGGCGGGAGCAATTTAGATTTCGTTCATGTATCTCGCAATGAAAAGGAAATAGTATTCCTCCGATATTCCGAGAGGGAAAAAATATTAAATTATTAAAATTGTTTAATAATGTAACTTTTATAATTTAATCCTCAAACATATACATAATCGTACAAAAGATTGAGGATCGTAATCCAAAGTTATCTAGAAACAATCAAATTTATTTACAATGTTTCCAACTTGAAACGCGAACGATGGAGGAATTTGCGCGAGTACGAGCGACCGAGTCTCCTCTCGAACCCGGTTCGGATAAAATCCGGACCTGGCGAGCGGCTGATTTTCCAGTGGACTCGACACATCGATCACGTGCTCGCCTAATAGCAGCACGTGTTGGTGATTACGCTCGGGGGACTGTCGCTAGATCGGGTCTAGGTAATTACCCGAAGCACCACCAGAGTCCCATACCCCACCATCCTTCAAAACCTGGGCTACGTCCCTTTCGGCCTTCCGATGCGTTGCACCCTCTGCACGCCGAATTCTCCGCGCGCGTCCCCGTCGATGGTACCAACACGATTGATTGGTTAACATGTCTAGTTCACCTCCAGTCTGGCCTTGATTATCTATCTCTCAACCCTGTCCGCAGCTTATCGGACCCTCAAACCATTTTCTCCTTCCGCTCCGCTGGTTCCCTGCTACCCACTCCGCTATGCACCGTATCATTCAAATTGCCGTATTAAATCCCCTCTTTCGACCACGTTGCAATCTTTCCTCTCCTGCCGCGCGCCGGTGTGTCATATCGGGGTAAAAGTCGCGCGTTTTACGTGCACCCACGTAATTGAACTACCCCTCCATAACCCGTCGGCCACCAGCGCGCCACGATGGCCACTTCTTCATTCGCTCCTAACAACAGTCTACGTCAAATTCTTTTTTTTTTTTTGCGGTAATTTACTAAATCTCCTGAACGAAATTATCCGTCCGTCGTTTCTTTAATATTGCTCTCGGGGCTCGGGGGAAATATAGTTTTCAATCTGTGTATTTAAACTCTCGTAACTGTAGACCAAAGTTTCCTGTTGATAGCAAATTAATAACGTTTTCTGTTGTTTCGCGGCAAAATTTCACAAAGTATATTTCCAACATAGTCGAACAATATACGACAGATATTATACATAATGATACGTTTGAATTATTTTTACTCGATATACATCATGATTATCACACGATTTATTTTTATATATATTATAACTAATTAATAAATGTTTATAATTGTGCCCGTTTTTATATATTAAGACATGTGCAGTGTATAAGCGAGCTCGATCAGTTTAATCTTTTCTTGCCGACCGCAGGACCTTAGGGACGTTGAGGGACGCGGGTTTATTTCCCAGGAGGGACGCAGGCTTTTTTTCGCAGTCCGACTGCCGCTATTACCCCGGCATAAGGGCGGCGACCTCTCTAGTGGCCAAAAATTTCGAGATCGCAAACTTTTATCGTAAACTTTGATGGGATTTCTATCGAGGCGACGCGAAACGTATTTCGCACAATCGTAAACCGTTTCTTGCGTAACGCCTTTCCAAACTTTAAAAGAAGATTCTGTTGCGTACTTCCACATTGAAGGCATCCGCGACGCTCTATACATTTTGAATGTATATAGAATGTTATTAGTATAACGAAATGAGAGAAGAGAAAGAATGCAGCTTTTTAGTTTACAATTTCCTCGAATTTTCCGATTAAACATGAAAAAGGTTTGACTAACAAACAACGAGATAAATCGTGAAATATAGATCGCAGTCTTTTCGCGAATATCCTCAGCGTGGAATTTCCGATATTCAATCTCACCGCAAAGAAAAGTTTTGTCACTCGACAGGTGGGAAACACTCTTCAAACCATTCTGAAGTGCGACGGAAAATGATACGCCAAGTCGTGCCTGTCGATGCCTCGTGAAAGAGGGTCGAAACATCGTCGCGATTCTTCTCGCGTCCCCCTATCGCGCTTCAGGTGCTAAAGAGAAGCTCGGCTTCGCACGCCGGCTTCTCAACGTAACGTCGCAACGTACGGTAGAGTATAGCTGCGTGCATGAACTGCTATTGAGGCGCGAGAAAGATATAATGCTCACCACTTAAGCGGAGTTGCCTTGTGGCCAGACAGTCGGAAGGGTGTCTGGTGTCTCGAGAGCCCTCCTCTCGTCGCTGCATCGTACCACGCGGATGCACCCTCGCACGATTTGCTAAAAAAAAAAAAAAAGAAAAAAACTCGCGTTCTTCCGCGCACTTATGCATATGCATGCGCGAGTGCATTTGCGGTGTATCACGCAATATCGAGGAAATCTGTTGCGAAACTCGGACAATGACGGCATTCCACGTAAAGTCGCGTACAGAGTTGTAATTAATTGTGTGTTAGCAAACACACGAGTTTATATTATATTCATGTATGTTATTACATAAACATAATATAAACAAATATATATATATATATTTTGGTCTACGTCAAATCTAAAATACAACGATCGATAAGCTATCGTGAGTCTCACACACATGATACGTTCGTACATATTATAGTATGAGGTATTTTATTGCAAAAGCGGAAGCGAAACACGAAAACGAATACTTGTGGCCGTGCCGACGCGTATTTCATAGTGTATCCGCTCGTAAAACCCTCGAAAACTAATTTGAAAAGTGTTCCGGCCTTTTTCAATGCTCCAACTTTTACGCGTCTCCCTTAAATATGTAATAAAGGCACGTATGTACTTTCACTTTGGCGCCCCCTCTCCCCGTAAATCCATAACGATCGTTATGCATAGCCCATCGCCGAAAGTACATTATCCTTAAATAAGGAAGGGACGAGGGACTTCGATCCGCTGTATGCCTGTCTCAAGACCACATCATTGGTGGAACGACGACGGTACGCACTCGAGACGTCTCATTTCGAGGTTGAAAAGCGCCGGTGGATTACCTTTACGAAATATATACGCGAGGATTTTACGAACTGCTGCGATCCCTGTCGAGGGACGTGGGGGATATAATCTCTTATACTTCGCATTCTAAAAAATAGCTGCAGGCTTTCACCAAGTCAACAAAAGAGAGAGAGAGAGAGAGAGAGAGAGAGAGAGAAAGAGAGAAAGGAATAGTATGTTCTTGATCTTCAGTCCTAACGATTCTAATCCTGGGAGCATGCAAACTATAAATTAGGGTGTCTTAGAGGGCGCAAAATGCTCTATCGGATTTGCAAATATACATATATAGGGGTGACAATGAATGATACCCACGAACTTTTCAGAATGGTGGAGGGTGCGAAAATAGAAATTTTCAGATAAGGCATCTCGCGGGCCTTGAAAGTTCGTCAGTGTCACGCGTTTTCAACCCGCGATATGAGAACGGGGACGAGAGAGCGAGGAGCACAGGCTGGAAATAGCGGCGGCAACAGGGAGAGCCTGGAATTTCGCAAAATTTAAGCCTGCCGACATCCATCACTGCGCACGACAGTCCTCCCGTCGCTTCAACGTCAGCCGGCGTCGCTCTTTTTGGGTCTGCCAGAGCGCACGAGTCGGTACATGCATGCATACGTGAAGCCGCAATAGCTGTAACACGACGTAAAATCCGTCGCTTGTCGCACGCCCGGAAAATTGTGGCGCGAGGCGCGAGGCGACAATGTCGTTTGATCTTAAGCCGATAACGGGCTAACGACATGGTACGTTATTATCTTCAAAGCTCGCATTACTTCGCATTCGACTTGCATTATTATCTTTTGGTCTTTAAAATAGATCGAATCACATCTATTCTTCTTGCCTTCCGTTCTTCGGATCGAGGAAAGTTACCCTCGCTGTTTTAATGAATGGAAAGATGATACGAGAACCATCGAGTACCGCGCGTCGCACAAAGCTCCGCGGGAAAAGAGATACACACGCCACTCGCCATAAAGCCTATTACGTTCTTTTATAAATATAGCCACTACGGGCAGGTCGATTGCAACTGACAGTCAAATTACAAAAGCGCGTATTACATTTTACGTCGGCTTTCAACCTGATACGCACCGTCGGATTATACCGACGTAAATAATGGAAAATTGCAACATTCGCGGAAAAAAATGTATTTCGCGGCATGCCAGAGCCACACTAACGCTCGTCGCTAAAATGGAGTAGGTACTCGGTTACACTGTCTAAATGTAAATTATTTTTTTTAAACAAATTTCTCGCATTTAGCATCGCGTCTCATGCATTAGACGCTTCGATCATGTATATTGTATAGAAACGAGATCATCATGTTAAAAATTTGATCGAGAAAATTTAAGTTTGACAATTTATTTTCTTTTCTAGCAAAGAGAAATCATTTTATTGTAGATTTTAAATTCTAAAAATCATGACAAAGCGAAAAAGAAAGGTAGTGAAGCGGATAGCATGTATGAAATAACGCGCACGTACGCGGCATATGCGTCGTGCATCAACAGAGCCCATTCGCTCCGTTGTTTCCGAAAGCCTCGCCAAGTAACCAAACTTTTCGACGTCAGGATCACGGCAACTAACCTTGCTAAATTCAAAATTTGACTAGTATATATTCCAATTCCGGTAAATTTGCATTTCAATGGCCCACTCGCCGGCAAACGAGATTCCATCTGCCGTCACGTAAGAGAGAACAATATAATTTCACGGTATAATGTGGCAATAATGCAGCAGCGTGGTACAATAGCGTACGGCAATCACTACTTAATTTAGCGCATACGACAATTACTACTTAATTATCGTGCATAAGCACGAGTATGCGTCGACACGCGATTTCACAATTCCGCGCTTCCGTCACAATTCGCTGTAGAGTTTCATTATTCATTCGCACTATTTCCAGTATCTGCGTTACAGATTTCGCAAATAATTATCACTCTGATTGTCCGATCGTCCGCTTATCGCGCAACAGCAATATTCAATATTATAACATAATATTATAATCCGCTTGCTCGTCGATTTTCCAGCTGCCATACTGAGCAGCTTATTCGACCGGAAGTCTCGACGGTCGAGCTACCGGCGGATCTGCCGCGAGGTGGAAACAAAAGTCGCAGATACGAAAATAGCCCACTTTTAAATTCCGACGCAACGTATAACGTCCGCGATTTCATAACGCAAGAAGACAACGAATCACTGGATAAAAGTTATGGAGACGGTTCGCCGAATGAAATATGCGCCTTTAAATTGGATCAGGGGAAGATTGATGAGCTCAGCGCGAACGATTATCACGCTGAAACGTGCGTATCTTCCAGCCGCGAAAGCGCAATACAAAAGGAATCTCGCAAGGAAACGGTCAAGAATGATGGCGCTCTCTCAAGGAACGAAGATGAATCTCGATGCAAATCGAATCGTAAGAGAAAAACACGTCGCAAGATGCCCGATGGAGTTGTCATTGATCTTAGCAATGATATTTATGGCATGTCCCGTGGCGGCATAAAAATCAGCGTTATTTCCATGTATAATCTGGTACCCGAAATGAAATTTATCGCAGTGCCCAAGTATGGATTTTATCTTTTAAATGCAACAGGCAAAGATATAGATATCTAAAGATTGTGCAAATTCTTTGAAAACCCCATGTACGCAAATTTTTTCAGGAAACGGCATTCAATGTGGAATCCCAATTCGAGAAACAAAATCGTCGATAATTCTATGCTGGCCGTGCTTTGTGCCGAAAGTAGCGACAAAATGAAGAAATCTCGGAGATCAACAAGACGCAAATACAAAAATTATTCGAAAGAATCAAAGAATGACATATTATATAGGAATGCCAGTACGACTGTCGACGCACCGAAAAAATTCGAAAATATATTAAACGGACGGGAGTTACATCCAGAAAGTAATACGCAGTCGCTTTGTACGCCCCACGAGATTCTTAACTCAACGCAATGCTGTCATCATAATGACACGATGGCTGATATTGATAACGCGCGATATCCGATATTGAACATAAAGCAAACATGTGACGACGTGAGGAAACGTATCGCGAACTACTGCAGCTGCTCGATTTTTAACGGCAAGCATCAAGAATATCATATTTGTGATCGGGAGGATTACAATACAGATGGTTCCGATTTCAATACGGAGATGCAAGCTGATTGGTCGGCCGAGTGCTTTCATCCTGAATGCGCCCGCGCGAGGGGATGTCGATGTTTCTATGACTCGAGTGAGTACGATCCCGATATAAATATGCAACGCGACCGTTGCCCCCTGATGTCGCAAACGGCAAGACTGTTCGAGAATTCCGCACTTTTGTGGAGGCATCAAAGGGAAGAGATCGGAGCGGACGAGCCCCGGACGGATATCGCGCCTGAATTCGCAACGGAAGCCGATGAATATTCTCCAGATGGAGTCGAACGGTGCAGGAATTGCGACGGGGAGAAAGGAAGCTCGACGGGCACAATCCGGAAACGCGCGGCTTCGAAGGCGAGCGTGCTCGCCGAGCCCGGCGGGAGCGTCGCCGATCTTCGCGATTCACGTTCCGCGGATGCGTCGCGATGTGAAATTGATACGCGTCCCGGAAAGCGCGGATGGTGGACGGCGACGACGGCGACGACAACGATGGCGGAGAGAGACGCCGATCGATCATATAAATCAAATTCGCTGAAAGCCGCCGACACGTGGGATGCACGCGCGCGGAGAGACAACTGTATCGGGCGACGTTGCGCAGGCCGCCGCGTTGTCGCGGAGCCGCCGTCGCGTCCCGACCAGCATCCCGGGAAAAAAGGCGGATCCGCCCGCGGAGTGGATTCGGAATGGAGACGGGGCTCCATTGAAACTGACGCCCAACAATTGGATTACAAATGGAAGAGAAGAATCGCGACCGTAGATGCCGGTACACGCGCCAGGGTGGATTTCAAAGGAAAACGTGATTCCAGGTGAGAGTCGATTTGAATGAGATATGGCCGCACGATAAAGGAACCGCGCGCCGTGTTTCCTCTCTCTTTCTCTTCGCATCTCTCTTTCTCTCGTCGTTACCTAACGTCGACTATGTCTCGCAGATATAAATCGGAAGAGGCGATTCATGTCCAATTGCGCGAAAGCGCGGAGATAAGGAAGCGCGAGAGCCTGGAAATGGTCGAAGCAACGTTAGTCCCCGCCTGATTTTGGCGTTGCAGTATACATCTACTTTCGATAAATAGAATTCTCTCTACTTTCCTCTCTCGGCTACATTGCCTTGGAAGTTGCTCTTGTATATCACAGAGTTCTCCTATCCTTATTTTATATAACATTTGTATATTTATGATACGCTTTCGTTGATATTTTTCTACGTGAAATAATATCTCGGGATTTAATGGAACATAATCTCGCTCCGCGAACTCGACACCATTCAAATATTTTCAAAATGTTAACAGCAATTTTTTATTACGTATTTTGAGCTTGCTATGTACAGAATTTAACAGATTTCTGTTGCATTTCCTTCCCCGATTCTCTAATCAATTCAAAATCGATTTTTCTTTCAAAGCGAAGTAAGTGAAGAGCACGTTAGAAAGCGTGTAGCAAAGTTTTCGCGCATGCTTCGCAGGTCACAAACGAGGAGCGACAATATAAACGCCAACGGCAAACGTCGCGAGACGCGCGATTACTCTCTTTGGACGAGTTCACAGTTGGGCAAAATTTGGTCGCAAGTGCACGACGCGTGCAAGAACGTCGTAAAGCTAGCTGCTACGAGCATCGGCCGTGTTGTGAGGGATGCACGTAAATCGGAACGCTCGCAGAGAAATCCCGTCGAAGTGGCTGACGCGACGCTCGTCGAGAGCGCGTCCTCGTGCGCCGGCAAAATATGCGGTGAAACGTGTCGTAAAAATTTAATGCGTCCGAGGAGCGGGGAAAAAACGAAGGCGCACCAGGAACGCGCAATCGGGGACGTGGGAAAATATCGCGGGGATACGGAGGCACCGATGCGGAAAAACTCGCGGGCCATTGCACCTTCTCGCCGCGATGTGCGGAGGCACGCGTATCAAAGCGCCGAAAAAGAGGAGAACGGGGAGTCTTGTGTGAATTACAGCGGTACGATTAATAGTGAGCAATCCTCTACGCATCTACCTGTTGCACTGACACAGTCATCGAAACTTGTATGTTTGACTTGTATTCTGACAAATAACACGCATTTGGGACAATTTAGAAAGTATATGCAATATTTTTCAAGAAAATATTATTTTTTGCAGAAACGACAACGCAACAACGAAACATTCGTTTTTTTTTTTTTAATCTTTCACTGCTTTTCAATTTTGTCGAGTTTTCGATTTTTCTGTCGTCTCTTTTGTATCTACATCTCTCCGAATACGTGAACCATAAATATTGTCCTGTAAAAAAAAATGTATTTTTTATTTCGGCTAAATGAAATCGAAAAATGATAGAGAAATTCTTTAATTTTATAAAAATAAATATAAACTTCCGCAGATTTGCGTTACGATAGAACGCAAATTAACAAATTCTGTTTTATTATTAACCTATGGTAATCTTTCTCTTTGAAAATTTCCAAATTTATACGCATTAAAGACAAAGGATGTTTATATTCAAATTTTACATTAACTTTTGCCTACGCGAGAATTTGCATTTAGATACGAATACTTGTGCAATATTCAATATCATAAAATATTCCCTCGTTTCTCGCGTATATAACTTTCTTGCCTTTGATACGGAAATAATAATTGCTCTTCTAGAGTATGAACGTGACAGGTATCAGGATATCGTAGAATTTCCGCCACGGAGTGAAACGTATAGCCGCGATGAGGAGGTACATTCTCAATCTCGTTCGAGTGAGTCCTTCGCGTATCACGAGAACTCCACGTACCCAGGACTTCGCAACAGAGGCGGCAGCGACGATAACCAAGACTTTGCGAGAGGCACCGTAGATGAGAAATCTGTGCAACGTATTTACGAAGATGCAGGATCCGTTAGGCCTCAAAATTTCATTTCCAAAAAATCGCAGCATGTGATCTGTTACGAATTGTCTGTAGTGTCTGTAACCACTGATCGCCAAGCGATTCGCGCGGACATGCCGGCTGCCTCGCGAAATAATCCGCACGAGCCTCAATCGGCGAGCATATCCTCTCCGGAAGATAACGAGGAGCGAGCGGAAAGATCCGCGGCGCCTGAACAAACGAGATCTCGCGACGAAACGAAAACGCGCGAGAGTATCGAGGACACGATCGGCGCGGAGACCGAAAGGAGCTTCACGCCGGCGATTGCGGATGCATCCTCGGCGGAAGCGAATCCCGCGGTTCACTCATCGCGAAACGATCCGGACGAACCGACAGCGTCGACTTCCAAATGGGAGACATCATCCGTTTCATTGGGAAAATCGCGAAAAAATCGTCCCGGTGGCAAATCGCCGTTCTGCGCGACAACGATGAAATTCTGGAGGAGGCGATTGCCCGTGGATAATAAGACCACCGCGCCTGTGCTTAAACGGAGCAGAAGGAGCATCGGAAGAAAGGAACTATCGAGCACTTACGGCAGCGGAGTGAAGATTATGCAAATAGAACCGTCTACTGTGCAAACCGCTCGAGAAGGCAATAAGAGGCGAGCCTACGTAAACATTCAAGTGCAAACACCTGACGCGATTGTTACGGGGATTTTATCGGAATTTATTCTCAGCGGCGAGAAGAGGAGGAGGGTGTTGATGAGCATAATGCTGCAATCGGAATCGGACGACGAGAAGGAAGCGGAAACGCAAACGTCATCAAACGACATTACTTCCGGAGAGATCAGCTATCCGGACAAGCGTCCGTGTTCGATCACGAAGACCGTGCAATGTTTCATGTGCGATAAGCCAGATTGTTACGAAATAAGGCAATCGGATAATTCGATCTCTTTAGAAGAGGCGTTAATCGCAGAGTATCCAGAAACGTCTGAATTAAACGATTATTTGGCGGAACGAAAAGCAGATGTTAAAATTCCCCCATGATTTATGTACATGTTTTGGAAACTTTCTTTATATAAATTTATATAAATTGCTCTCAATAGAGCAATTCATATAAATTAATATATCTATCGTAATGTAAATAATTATTTGATTAAAGCGACATTATTTAATAATTACTTTATTTAAACGGTAATATTGAAATTTACGCTTGTCAAATTTTTAGCGTACATCGATCGATTCAAGATATCGAGAAATTCGGAATTTCAGCTAATTTAACTAAATTTTAGTAACCTCACATTTTCACATGCACACACTCAAATTTATGTGTCTATTCCTGAATATGTCATATCAAAAATGTGTCCACCTTGTATCCGCACCTTGCCAAAATTCATATCCGAACTGAAACTTTAATTATTAATAGCAATGGAAACAAATAAGTTAATTATGGAATTCTCCTGAAAATTTTAAATGAAGTTGCACATTGCAAAATAATTTTTCTTATTCAGCATGAAGCAAAATTGCAATTTAGCCTGTTCAATATTAGCATATTCAATTAAGCATATTCAATATTAGCAATATTAATGCGGTGGAACTATGGTCTATAACATTAATATTATTATGCATATCGAATAAACATATTAAGCGTACCAAGCATGGCAAATAACAGAAACGAAATCGCTGGTTCTGACACAAACTGTTCTGAACGAAGAGATTGCTTCGATTGCTGCGATGATCCAAATGCAGCGAACGAAGCTTTACCATCGTCGAAAAGTCACAAGTTCTTCCGCAAGCTAATAAAGTGTTTAGTACGTTCTACTGAGCGGTTACGACAGATAAAAGAAGAAAAACTCAATATAAGAAGAAAGCAAAATGTCTGTACGCCGTGTAAATCTGAAGAAACTGCACATACTTCATTTTCATCGGTTGTAGACGACATAATTAAATTGGATGCAGAGACTGTCGCTAAGATCAAGCGAAAAATGATCGACGCAATTACCTCCACACGTCCCCATGAAGTTTTCGATAAAGTAACGCAGGAAAATCTCACAGGAAAGCATTTTGTTCACGGCGCATCTTATCGATATGCGGAATACGCGACGGAGTACGTGGATGACGCCGTACCGAAGAAGACGCGCGGCTGCGGTCCGCTGTGCATCGGGTCTCAAAGCGACACCGCGGATGGGCCTGACGCTTTTGCGAAAGCATGCGAAAAGAGGCGGCACGCGGATTCTGTTCTCGAGAAAATTGCAAAAATCGCTGCGGCTCTGACGGAGAAAGCACGTCACGATGCCGAGAAGGAGCAGCAGACGGCTTCGATTCTCGCGTCCGTGTCGACGAGGGCTGAGGTACCGCCTCTGCAGTTGGAGGAGACATTTGAGTGCACGATACCATTAATATCTTCGATCGTCCACGCGGAAGAAACGCCAACAGTCGCTGCCGCAGCGGTGGCGGCTGCTGCAGCGACTGTAATGCAGCGAGAGGATACGGGAGTAACGGCGTCTTCTTCAAGTCATATTTTGATAGGCTTGAATAAACAACTACCACTACCACTAGACATTGCTTCGGCTAACCGAATAACTCCAACGTTAAAATTAAGGATGACGCGTTCGGTATCGGTCATGTTTCCGGAAAATAATCTTCAAGATACCGCAGCTGCTGCTGCTGTTGTTGCTGAGAAAGAGGAAAGAGAAGAGGAAAAACCACTGAAGATAATTTCTCGACCATCAACCATTAGACCATTAGACCATATTGCTGCTGATATGACAAGTAATGCCGCTGATAATTTTATAATTCTATAAATACAAATTGTATTCCGTAGCTAAGAAATAATTTCAAATTTTTTTAAATTTAGATCAACTAACAGATCAACTAACAGATCAACTAACAGATCAACTAACAGATCAACTAACAGATCAACTAACAGATCAACTAACAGACACTCCAACTATTACTTTGAGACAAGAAGCTACTACCCCAAAAATTGGTATCATTGATTCCTCTATCGAAACTTCGCAATTATCTGATAAAAAATCAAAATATCGAGCTAAATATCGCATTCGTGCTGCAAAGAAATACGAAAACCCGAAATCCGAGTGTTACGCTTTTCCCACACCAGAAGTGATAAGATTTTTTAACAAATTCGAAGAACCGGTAACGGAAATGTATCGAGGTTGTCGAAGTGCTTCGGCGAGATGTCTACGGCCAACGAAATGCGAAGATTTAATACCGAGCAACGTCTATCTCGGAAAACATTGCGACATTTGGATCACCCCGTGCTCGCGGAATGAAGCTCCGCGAAACGCTATCTCGAGCCACGCTCGTTGCCGTCTCTCGCAAGATTCATGCGCGATCGAATACCGTACCAGCTGTCATACGCTGGATGACAGCCGCGCCAGCTGTCATACGCTGGTTGACAGCTGCGCCAGTTATTGTAACATGGACTGCGCAAAACGTGTAGTAACATTCGAAAATTTATGTAACGATACGTATTACAAGAGCGACGCAAAATATTGTTACTCGCATCTAAATAATATTGACAACGCTCGAACGGGATATTATTATTGGAATGACAGTTGTCCAGTATGGAACAACAATCAACACTGTGGGAGGGATCGATTATATTACTGAACAAAGGGAAATTTATATTTCGCGCATCCATGAACGCCGGAGCATTTGTAGCGATATAATTGATATTGACAATGGCAACGTATGATATTTAACTTTGCTGAATAATTCGGAATCAATCGTATCGGAGATATAGAATTAACGCGCCGCTTTTTATTGCTTAATGTATAATTTTTTATGAGATTTACAATACAGGTCCGAACGGTGATTTACTCTACGGGGACCGTGCAAATTAAAATGGATAAATACGCGACGTAATCTGTACCGCGGCCTGTGACGTGCGTCAATCCTAATTACGTTTCACACTACGTACTAATTTTAGTTATTAACCTGTATGTGCGAATAGCCGTAAAGTTTTGCATTCTGTCCAACGCGCATGCATATTAATAATTAAAATTAATAACGCGCTAAATATAGTTGCGATATACGCGCGACAGTCGACGCATTGATGCCGGATGACAAGAGAACGTATCATATACAATATATTAATGCGGACGAGAGTGATTATGTATTTGCAATGTTTGCACAGCAGTTTATATTAACTCATTATATTGTACGACTAGTTTATTAGAAATGCATGTACGAGCTGTTTATCGTTATTAGTTTATGGTTAGTCACTAGTGACGACAAATTGCTGCGGGAACGCATTTCGAGAAACGACAAAACCCGAAGAAAAAACGGTTCTGCATTGCAAGAAAACGCCTGTTATTGCCTAAAAAATTGCCAGTCGCAAAAGCACCGAAACAAACCGTCTGATCGTTTTTTCATTTGCTTGCGAAGCTACTTATTATAGCTGCTTGAAAAATATCTACGGACAAGAAACCGCCGCAGACGCGAGAAACCGTTACCGTTTTTCGCCAAGAGACGCCAAACAGTGTCGAAAAGAGCTTGCGGGCAGCCGGAGAACTTTACATCAACCAGAGTCCCGGCGGGGACGTCGTCGTATCCTTAAGCGGTCTCCGCGGTCGGCGATTGCGGCGGAAGGAATTTCGCCAAAGTTCGTTTTCTTGGGTAGCAAGCCCACCTGCCGGATGCAACGGCCGAAAGCTTGGTCCGGAAAGCGAAAGCATATCAACAGTGCGGCGGAGTTTCCTCGTTACTTATTCACGCGCGGTCGGGAAAGTACGTTAATTTGTTTTTGTTTTCAATAAAAATTAATTTTATTATGTATAAAGTAAGGGAAAATGAATAAGAGTAAAGTTTTCAATTAAAAGTTATTGTCCAAGAATTTACGACAGAATTTAGACAAAAAGACTTCTGATTATTTTTATATAATGTCTAATTATATTTATTTATCCGTATTATGGTAGATCTGTCATATGGTCAACCATTCGAAATGTGAGATTTGAAAGGATCTCACATCTTAAGCAGTCCTTACGCTCGAAGTACATCAAGTACGAAAACTTCGTCGAAGTTCGTGGCAATCTATACTCGCAAACTCTCTGGGTGGCCGATATAAGAGGAGAGTCGAAGCCACTCAGGGAACAAGTGCATCGTGTACCGCACGAGGTATATATAGCGTTAGGACATGCTTGCCGCTGTCATAAGCGTTCCGGTCGTATAACGGGATATAGCTTTATTCAGTGGCAAGACTTAACGTCGTCCTGGTGGGATGCATTAGACAGGCGGCGTCGGAAGATTTACTATTCAACTTCGACATCGTACGGTACGGAAACTTCGCCCGCGAGGCGAAGGAAGTGCGATATCCTTCGGCAGAAACGACGCACAGCATGCGCCGCCGCCTTTCACGCTAAGTACTGCATTCGAGAACGCTGATGTCGCCGACGACACTGGAGGTTGCCGGAACGGAGTTGCTCTACGGAGGCGACGATAATGACAACGTGGAAAGCGAGGAACTGACGGGAAGGCTGCTGCAACCGCCGCGCTGAATCGCGCGAAGTAACAGCGAGGAAACTTCGTAACGTCGGGCTTCGCGAAGACCATGAAGGCACCGACTTCCTCGATAGGGAAGAACCGAGGAGGGTGCGAAGGGTCCCATAATGCCCCTCTATCCGTCGCCTTATCACGCTAAGTTGATTAAACACAGGCGACAACACGCGTCCCCTTCCGTCACGTAACCCTCCTCCCCTCCCTCCACCCTCGGCTGTTGTTGTTACCGTTGTGCCTGTGTTACCATGTCCCGTCGTCCAGCTTGCAACCCGACCGTGGGCATCCACCTCTGGTCTGACCCACCTCCGTGCAATCTGCCGCCGTGTAATCCGCCGGCGTGTAAACCACCCTCGTGTAAACCGTCCCCGTGTAAATCACTGCCGTGTCCAGCGGCCTGTCCGCCGCCGCCGTTGTACGACACGTCTCCGTGTTCAACGTCTTTGGACCGTCCAATTCCGACCAAGGATCCAGCCCCGTGTTCCACAGACAACTCCGTGCTCGATAGTCCCATGCCATTCGCGTGAAACACGCGCGTTGCTCGCGATGAAAGACGGGACTACGTCAATGACGGTGAAAGGGCTGCTCGTTAATTTGGCTAAAGTTAAACGTGGATTGTTACTGCAGAGAGAGAGAGAGAGAGAGAGAGAGAGAGAGAGATCTTCCTTGCAAGTGAGTTATGCGATTTAACAATCTCATCCTTGTAACATGCAATGCTTTACACTGCTTGTTCACAGCATAGTTATAATGTAACTTTATTTGGAATTTGATTACACGTTTATAATAATGTTACATCTGGGATTATGTTTCCTGTTTTTTTCTCGGTCGAGTTAATTTCAATATATTATATATTTCATTAATAATATTTTAACTTTATTATTTACTAATTTGTTAATATTACTAATTGTGCTAGTTTATGCTAAATTATACTTATTATCCAATTACCTTTCCCGGATATTATTCCAGAATAATTTTCTTTATTTATCTCTCTCTGTATAATATGCATGTAGAAATGTTACAGTATCACGTAATGTACGCTTAAGTTTTGCTAATACATTGAATGTAAATGCTTGATCTACAAAAGTGCTCCTTGCGGAGGATGTCGCGGTCAATCATGCGGAAAGACCGATATATATATAGTTGCAGCAAGTTCCAGTAACGAAATGGGGGGCTGCTTGCCCGAGAAACATCGGTGGAATGCTGCGGCGTTGGAAATTCGAGCTGCGGAGGATGCAGCTAATGATTCACCGCTTTAAAGATTCCACGCTCTTATACAATAATAAATAAAACAGTCCCCCCCCCCTCAATGCAATCAAATAAATTGATCGTTTCCGAAAACGCGCGATTTATTCGATTAAGCGGGATTTTTTTCCCGATTTGCCGTAAACCGTCGATATTTTCTCAAAGCCAATGACAATTGCCATAACCTAACGTAAACTTAAATTAATCTGGATTAACGTCATTCAACAGCGACATATATATAATAAAATTATCACGTGAAACCTTAAGGATATAAATATGAGACTGTTAAATTGTTTACTAGACAATTGGCACTGGCCGAAACGCGTGCTCGGCATCTCGAAACTATCCGCTTTCGAGTTTCTTAAAACCGCACATCCTGGTTTATCGAATAATCAGCTACTGAATCGGTTGAGAAAACAAAGTATAGAACCCGACGAGATCCTCGCGGAGCATCATCGGCAGCTCGCCTGCGAGAAAGAACTTGCGCGCATTCTACGTAATCTCGACGTCAGTTATCGGATTATGAAAAGGTAATGTACTTTATGAACGAGTTACTTTGTAAGTTAACGAACCTGCCGTTACCGTGGGGCTTTTTCTTCTCCCGAAGTAGAAAATCCACGACATAATTTTCCCGAAGGTCGATGCTCCAATTTACGACGGATTTAATCGCAAACAATATTGTTAGTGGAATTATTAGATTCAAGGGATGATTTATATCTGTGATTGAAATACAGAATAGACGACGCGAGTAGATGCGTAGATTGGACCGATCTGGTGATCGCAATCGGCGGAGACGGCACCTTTCTCTTGGCCTCGAAGCTGATAACGAGCAACAACACGCCGATATTCGGCATCAATCCGCATCCCGGAAGTAATACTTTCACCCTGCCGATTGAGTATAGGGCGGACATCGAAAGGATATTTGAGAAATTGCGTGCGGGGGACTACACTGTATTAATGAGAAGTCGCATACGTACAATAATGACAGGAGAAGGGCTTTATCGACAGCCCTTTCACTTGCACGAAAAGGGTCGCATGCAAGGCGAAAAGAGAGTCGAGTGAGTAGATTGACCTCTAATTTAGTGCAAACGATTAACATAATTTTTTCCGCTCAACATAAACCGGCGTATTTGGCCAAGAAAAACTTGAATCTAAAAACATTTTTTCTCTTAAAGGAAAATCCCATATCATAACGTTATTTATCTCGCTTTTCTTGCGCAAGATTCACATTTTATCTAAAATTTCTCAGTACTTCTCTCGGAGATGCAGTCGTCATTTTCACTTAAACTCGCGGAAGCGAGTTGGGGAGTTATAGTATAATAGTATTAATAAATCAGGCGTGTGCCAAAGCGAATGGGACCGAATGAAGCGAGAAACGACTTACGAGACACTCCGGGCGTCTCTCCCTTATTCGCGAATACCTGAAAAGGAAGTTCCTTCAGAATGGCATTAATGTAACACAAAAAGATAAGGGCTTGAATGCTTTTTGATAGTCGGATAATGGTTTTGCGAGCTGCACGGCTGCATAGCGAAACGAGCGGAAACAAGGTTGACAGGGTGGAGACGCGCGCACGTTCGCCGCCGCCGCCGCGTGCGGGAAATCGTCGCGAGAAATGTACCGTATAATTCCGTTAGCCCGCGTGTAGATATAGAGAAACATTAAAGCGCCCGGTCGCGCGCGAGAAACTGACGTTCCGCGCTAAACTTTTATTTACCGGCCACTCCCACTGCGCAGTCTAAAGTTGAAATAAGCAGCTGGGTATCGCCGACCCTCCTGCGCCTTCGCGAGGACGCTGCAGTGCGTCTTCATTGCCCGGCCCAGCCCGGCCGGGTCCTCTCTTCTCACAACCGAAGTTTCCGAACTACAGCTTATGCGCGTTATAACTTCGGTAGTTATAACTTGTAAATTACAAGGCCCCGCGTAGTTACGACTTGCACAAGGAGGCCGTAACTTCTGAATTCGCGCGAATTTTACGGGGGTGTGACGCGACGCGATGCGGCGCGATGCGGAGCTCTTCTTAAAACTCGTATCTATCGTATTAACCGGGGAGGAGAAAAAAGAAACTCTCGAAAAGGACTAGTTCGACGATTAAATTTAATTTTGACATTTCCGACGGGAAACAATTTAACCGTCGCACACTTGATATTCCATTACGTCTCTCCATGTAATCTCTCTTTCTCTCGCGAACTCGCTCTCCCGTCCCATTAATTCCTTTCGAGTTTCGCGACGTCTCTCCAAAGGCGCGCTAAACAAATGAAATCTTCGCAGCGCACTCATGAGATCCACTCAGAGGAAAATAGCGGATGCCCTGCAGCCCCGCCGGAGAGTTTTACCTTGGCTGGCATTAAACGAGGTTACATCTGACGTAAAGCGTTTCTACGCCGGTGCCGATCGATAACCGCTCATCACGCGCGCTTTCCAGGTGTTTATGGGCGAATGTTTGGCGTCGAGACCGATCATCCTGGCGATTCAGACCGACGAAGGGAAGATGGTCGAGATCCGATCTTCGGGTATCTGCGTCTGCACGGGCTCAGGCTCTCGGTCCTGGTTCAAGACGATGAATTTGCAGACTGCCGAAACCGTGCGAACGCTCGCAGCCATGGCAATTGGCAGGCAACTCGACGAGAAAGAAATCTGCAAGGTGTTGTACAAGTATCACAGTAACCTTCTGTTTCCGCCAGGTAACAAACTACAAAATCGAAATGTCCTTCGAATCTTCAGTGACATTTCTTCGAGTAGTCATTGAAGATTAACGATGATTGACCAGGTTGACTTAAAAATATTAAGCTGTGATTACTGCGACACGGAACGTTTGCGTTACAGAAAATTTAAAAATGGCGTGTATGATACACGAGATGTGTCGAAGTTCGCTCTGGCCGACTTTTATTTCGGACAGGCGAATGTGTTGCAGAATCAAAGTCAGGTCGATGGGCTTTGATGCCGGCCTCGTTATAGATGGCAGCGTGTCTCTACCCTTCAACGATGGTAGTACCGCGTCCTTCGAGATCCGGCCTGAACACTCACTGAGAAATATTATCTTGCAATAAATATCCCATGCAGTCATTGTAACTTTATCTCCTATTGTTAATTTCTTTCCTTGTCGCGATAGCTCAATTGTACAAAAGGCTCTTTTAACTCGGTTGTCAATCGGAAAAAGGCAAAAGGGTAACTTCTTTCAGCAGCACGCCGTGCTGAATCTCGGATGACGTAAGACCGACACGGACTAAAAGACCCTCTCGAGCCTGTAGATTTATTGTTACGCTCGGTAACGAGCCCGGATACATTTTGTTTTCAACGGCGAAAGAAGCGGGCCACTCTCTTTCTCCGGGCCGACGACTTACAAAGTGAGACCCCTCGCGATCCCGTCGTTTCCTTCTTTAGTATCGAACGAGCCTCGCCCCGGACTTCCATTAACCCCCGTAATTTCGGTTTTCGCCGAAACCGCAGACACTCCTCGCGCTCGCCCCGTTGTACCTATCTCGATGTTTCACAGAGAGCGTGCACACGTGCGCCCACCTATCTACCTATCCAGCTTCCGTCTAAGTGCACCCCCGTTACGCTCGGAGCAAAAGTTGTGGGCGCACGAAACACGAGATACCGCACAAAGCCCTTAGGTGGCCAGGTGGGCGCCGACGTTTTCGGGTGCAGCGTCGCGTAAAGTAGTGGTAAAAGAGTTGCGGGGACGTAAAAGTCGTGACCCCCCCCCCTTTCCCCCTCCCCCACGTCCGCTCCACGTACCCGAAAACTTTAGTTTCACTGAGACCGAGACGACCGTCTTTCGCCAATTGCACCTCCGAAGAATTTCAACAGCAGTATTTCTCAATCGTTCGTATCACCCGTATAAATAGCGGCTTACGCCGAGACGAAAAGGAATCGAAATCCTTTTAGACTCGGTCTGTCCATCGGAGGGAAGTCGAAGTTTCGACTTCTCTCTCTCTCTCTCTCTCTCTCTCTTTCTCTACGATTATTTCTACGTGAACGACTGTTCTGAAATTTCGAGTGCCGAGAAATGCAATTCATTAAACGTTTCCTACTCTGTATACTTTTATATTTATGTGAGTCCATCCTCGGTATAATTTTACTTTCTTCAGCAATTATATAGTTATCACGAGCACACGCCTCGGGTGCGAGGAAAAGACACGATATTAAACGGTCTGAGTGAGTTTCCGCCAATCGGATTTCGGTGAACGGCCGAGCCGTGATTCTCATTAATCCTTGCGAAAGCCCCAATCTGTAAGAACAATGGTCATCCCAGACAGCCCCATGGAGGAACAAACAAATGTACGGGCAACCGGGAATAACGGGCCGGCCTTTGTACCTGGTAATTGAACGTCGATGTCTTCCATCGAAGTTTTCGATGGCGTCATCTCGACGAAAATTAGACGAAACGGCCACATAAAAGTACCACCGCGAATTTTATAGTATTCCCGACTATTGTCCGCGGACGGGGCGAAGGAAGGGAGGAAGGGGAGAGCTTTCGATCATGTGCCGAGTCTCTGTTCTGCGTGTGCACGTTGTATCACGCCTCTCTTTTATTAAAAAAAAAATACTCGCTTGTTGCAGCGACAACGCGAGCAACAAACAAGGCTTTGATATCGTCGACATAATATCGGCTCGTTATCGATATCACGCAGCATAATTAATTAATAATTCTCTCGATATTACCGCGTAATAATGACTTAAAACGAACGCGAACAATAGAATGCTTTAACAATCAGTGATGCGTCATTACGATTATAAACATATTAATGAAGCAAAGCGCTAACGCGGGATTATCGCTCGCGGCGCGGCGAAGAGACGCGAAATGCCCGCGCGCAGACAGAGAGAGAGAGAGAGAAAGAGAGTTCGTGCGCGGGCGCGGTTACGCGGAACGCGATACGCGCGTGATAGGTACGTATATAGGCGTGTTTATAAAATAAATAATACTTTCGATGCATATATGTACGATGTATTCGCGCGTGTAGGCAAACTCGCGCCGCGCCGCGCTACGCCGCATGCTGTGTAATCGCAAAAATCAATATTATCGCCGCGGATTCGCGCGGGTCGCGCCTCACCTCCACCGCCTCCGCGCCTCGCTCCGAAAATCGCGCCGCTCTTCCCTCTCGCCGCGACTGTTCTCTTCGTAGCCGTATAAATTCGTCAACCGATGACCGATTCGCGGCCATTTTACTCTTATCCGAAGATTTAGCTTCCTTCGAACGGACGGCGGCGGTAATAGCGGTTCACGAGATTTATTAGCGGATTCATGGGCGGGACGTTAATTCGTGCCGAAGAGCTCGAAGAGCGGTCGGGGAATCGTCGAGCGAGAAATGGCGTGCGAGAAAGAAGAACGAGAAGACGGGAAACGGGTAACCAGTGCAAGTGATGGGAACTATACGGGAAAGGGGCGGAGGGAGCGGCGGAAAGAGAGGAATTCGTCGAATCTACACGTATAAAGCGGACCGATGAGAGGCGGATTCGCGGATGTGCCTTTTTGCGTGGCAACGCAAACGCTGCCTCTTTTTTTTTCTCCTCCGGCTTTAATCCCTGCACCGGTTGTAATTTGATCCGCCTTTGTAACGACCGCTGCACCGCCCGCGCACCACCGCGTGCATCCGTCCGCCGCCGCTTTGCGCGCGGAAAAACGTCGCGCGACCGCGGGTGACCGCCGCAAAGCGTAGGCGGAATAATGACAGTTAATGAAAATATAAAAGGGCTAACGCGCGGCCAGCGGAGCGCGTCCGTGTCGGATCGAGCGTCCGCGACGGGGAAGTGGCGAAAAAGCGGGAAATATCGGCGGCGATTAATCGCCGCGTCTAATGCGCTTTGATCGATCCACTTTGTCATCCCTCCCTCGCGTTTTCGTTCGAGATGCGTAAAAATGGCTACGTCGTTGAGGTAGTCGGGGACCATTTGCACCGTCGCTTTATCGATATCGAGGGTGACGATACCTTGCGTTATCGTAGCGAGAAAAAAAATTAATTGGATCATAAACGGTAAGAAATTTTTCAGGAGTTTCTCTCTCTCTCTCCCATCTCCGACTATCCTTTCCATTTAATCCTCGATCTCGCGCTGTACGCCCTTGGCAAATCAATCCGACGACATTCCACGCGCGGCGGCGCTTTTCCCCGTGCGTATAAACGAGCTCCTCATCGTCAAATTTGCTTAGCGTATCAAGGACACGCCACGTGCACGCTCGGCTGCGTCTACATTTTAAAACTCATACCCCGCGGAGATTTTTCAGCTGTGAAAAACGGCCGTAACGTGCGCTTTATAGTCACCGGGGTTACGTGGAAACGTCGCGTCCCACGATCTTCATAATTAGACGATAACTTATCGGGGAGGCGTTTGCGCGCGCGCTTGCCGCCGCCCACCGCTCGGGGGGTTATCCGTCGTGACACCCCGACGGAAGTCGGCGGAAACGGAAAGGCGGACAAAAAGGCGGCGAGCGCGCGCGGGGACGCGGCCATCGAAAGGCAGCGGACGCTCAGCGCGGTTCATTTCCCGTCTATCGTGAACCGACGAATTTCGCCCCGGCAATTTGCCGAAGCGACGATTTCAAGTTTCCCTTCCGGTTCGCCCTCCGTCTTTCCTGCGCGAAGAAACGACAAAGGGGCAGAGGGGACTCAATTACGCGAGATCGGCCCACGAATATATTTTATACGCGCTATCGACACTCCAAACGATATTCGCTGTACGCGGTATGGCTCATTTCGCTGCTCCAGAACCACGTCCTCTTTTCCTGCTCCTCCTCTTCCTCTTTTCTATGATGCGTATAATTATCACGTTACGGCTCTTGCCTCCCCTCGCCGTTTCTCTCGAGCCACCAACGTCGCTGCCAGCGAGGCGAACTTCTGATTTTATTGGCACGGCAAGTTGCGCAGGATCCGCGAAGCGAAAGGAACCGGAGATTGTCGCGCAAATGAATTTGAAGTATTGCCGTTCCACATCTCTCCACCTGTCTCCGGTGCCGCGGTGTGGATCGGCGCTCTTTCCGACTTTCCATTATCTTACCTTTCGTTCGTGCTTCTACCGTCTCGCGCTTTACGCGCGGAACGGTTCCACCAGGTACGGTCCCTCTTCCCTTGGCGATTTCTTCTTTTGTTGTGTCTTTTTTTACAATCGCCTCCCTTTTCCTCTCCCCCCCCCCTCTCTCTCTCTCTCTCTCTTTTTCTCTCTTTCTCAAACGAACGAACAACCAGGTTGGATCGATGCAACAAGCCGCATATTCAAGTTCAACGACCGTACGAATTCGATACAATGATAAATCGGAGAAAATCGAGGATCATAATAAGATTACCGATAGTAACATTATCCTCCGTGAATGTCGAATACAAGTGATGTCGTCGTCTCGCGAAATCGATGACGACTCCGGCGCAAGCGACGGGAGGGATGGTCGTTCTAACGAGCTTGGGGAAGATTCGCCAGTGTAGTAGTGCTCGAAATTACGTTCTGATGCTAATTACAGATTCGCCATCCGCGAAATGCGCTTCTTAAAAATAACGAAACTAGCTTGAAAGCACATTAAGGTTTAATCAGAGTATTTTCAAGCTGATTAATTCACCCGCCGGAAAAGTCGTATTGACCGTTTCTCTTTTCGCGAAACAGCTCAACCTCGTTTCTCTCGCGTATCAAGAGTCCTCTTCCCAAGTTTCAGGCCAAGTACAATAATATTATCACTGAGTTAAGTCATCTCGCAGTAGTCGCAAAGAATTCCCATTAAAGGATTTCAAAGGATAAGACCGTAAGAAGAGGGGAGGGGTGGGAGGGGTGGAAGGAGGAGGAAAGGGAGATTCCACCCGGAACTCGAGTTAAATTATCGCGGAGTGTGTTTGTTCCATTTTCTGCGCCAGCACCGCTGAGCTGAAAGGAGCGCAGCCTTTTGACCTGAATACTCGAGAAGCGCCGTTTTAGCCGCATATAATGTCGCTAAATAAGGGCATTAAACAGCTTATCCCATCACGTCGCGATTAAGCGGCGACGCGACGCGATTTATAACGATTATCGGAAACTAGAATATTACACGTCGTTCCGTCTCACAGGAAATATCATTTCGTAGTAGCCGCCAAGGGAACGGAGGGGGGGGGGGGCGCCGTGAATAAAATACAAAACTGCATAAGTTAATTTTCCTTGCCCGCCGGAGACTTTTACCGTTCATTTTTATTACGGCCGTTCGGCCGCAATAAAACTAATCACACTCTTTAATTATCGTAATCCCGAGGCATTATTCCACGCCGTTAAGCTCGACACTAATCATCCGACGTGAGGCGATTCCACGTTTATCCGCTACGAGCGTACGCTCTCTTGCAGCAGAACGGCCAGTCACGATCGGATCGATTATTTCTCTCTATGATTATGATATAGAAATGATAGAATTATTATTTTCTTTTCTTAAATTGAGACACGAGAAATAGTTAGAGAAATACCATATTTTATCATGTGATAATATTTTCATTTAGCAAGAGACTCGTATTATCTACCAATATTCTTTAACCGTCGTACGCTGGTATATTTACTAGTATTCTACGGCCTTCAATTTCCTTCGTATCGAGGCCCGCGGCTATTCCGCAGTACCGTAAATCGCGAAACGCATCTAGTTGCTAGAGAGAGGAAGAGAGAGAGAAAAAAAGAGAGAGAAAGAGAAAGAAAATTAAAGTTAAGGGCAAACAGGCTGCAAGCGGGAGAAAGCGAGGTCGGCCGGGTTCGAACCTCCCTTTTAAAACGCTCCCCGTGGTGAAATAAATTGGCGCCGGCGTGTTTACACGTTAGGGCGAAATTAAAATTCCTGAAGTGTTGCGAGGTAGTAGCTCGCCGGTAGAAAGAGGCGGAAGAGCGGTGTGCCGGCGAGCGGCTAGCCGCGAGAGGAAAGGGGTTGGGGAACAGAGAGGTGTATGAGCGGCGGGAGAGAGAGGACGCGGGCGTCGACGGGCGGATGCCCGAAGGAGAAATGTGTTTAATTAATGACCGGACTAATTAAAAGCCCAAAGAAAAATACACTTGCGCCTGGGATCCAGGGTGGCGGCACGGGCCGGGATAAGAGCCGAGCTAAAACACTCGTTCGGTGTTAATGCACAAAAGCGTCGCGCCGGCGACGGTGACGGCGACGGAGGAAAGAATGGAGAAACGAGTCGGCTAATAAGTTCGTCCTGTTTCAATTATCTCGACATCCGGTCGTCCCTTAGCCGCTTCCGCATGACATTCTGCAAAGTGAGCACGAGGAAATTTACAAGACTATATACATATAGCGTGTGAAAGTAAAATGATTTTATTAATAGACACACGCGCCGATTTGTCGAGGTATACAGATTGATTTCTCTCGAGGAATAAAAACCAGCAAAACGGAACGAAATACTGATTGCAAATTTATAACTTCGAAACCCGTGTAATTTCGAAGTCCCTGGCTCGTATCGGATCTCGCATTTCGCAAGTTCGAAAATTGCTTTGTCTCAAACTAGGATTTCCTTGCCGTATCGATCGAAGCCTTATCGATTCGCGTGCGCGCGTTCTATTACCCATCTCCACAACCTTAGTGTAATGATCATACTACGGTTTATCAATGAGTAAACGAACACATCCTGTTAATGTATGAATCTTGCAGGGAGCAAACGCGGGTTCCCAGATACAAACACGTGCATCCGCGTGTATGCCTGACACCGCTGAATACATATATCCGCGCCGCGCGCGCGGCGCATATTATGCGCTCTAAGGTACGGTAGTTCTAATTAAATAATTAATGGCTAATGAGTTAGCTGTGTCGTCTATATCGCGAAACTCGGAAGACACATGCGCTTCCTTATTCGAACAATCGCACGTATACTACCATGCACTCCGCAGGATATTCTGAAATATTAAACTACTAGTTCGTATATACGCATATATACATATATGCCCGCATATGCACAAGGCGCGCACACGAAATTATTATTTCCAACGACAATAAGCGCGTAGTATTAATTATCCTCCGTGCGTTCGCTGCGCATAATCACCGTAGGAACGTGATCGCGTTAAATTTGTGGGAAATATGAAGCTCAAATAGCTCCGCGGCTCCACGACCGATACGTCATCAAACTCCGGAACTCAATTTATCGAGGAGACAGTAAGCTTGCAAAACAAAGTCCATGTGAGTACCGATATACCATCGAAGATAATCTCGATACCGCTGGGAAATTCCTGATGGGAGAGAGACACCGCCGATGCACAGCGGAACAGCGGGAAAAAAAAAGCAAACCAAAAATCCTCGACGACACTGTGCTTTGCGTTACGGATGACGCGACGCCGCTGTAAATAAAACGACGCGCTACTAATTTAGATTTCTGTCAGATAAAGCCGTCCTGCAGAACGTCCGTCACGGTGCGGCGGCGCTCGTCATTCAATTGCGTTTCGATACGGCTCGATCTGCATTTGATCGTAGATACCTATAATATTAAAAAAGTATCCAACAACGTGTGGAAATGCATACATGACAGCGCAGTAAACGCTACGATTATAGCAGCAGGATTATTACTCATGTGAAAACACAGTCGGTTTCGTATTGCGTCACTTTGCACGAAGATGATTATCTACATGACTGTAGGGAGAATTGGAGTGGGGATAATTATGCAGCGACGCAGAAACGATTAGCCATAATGACTTCCTTATTGATTTCTTCCCAAGCGCGATACGTCACAGCATATGTGTGGTGTAATAATTAATGCGTTTTATTATGATAAAATTATGATAAAAGAGTATCGTACACAGTACAGATTTTTTACAACTTTTATAAATCACGCTCGATAGTGTCTCTCGGAGATAATATTGCGTTTCCAACAATCATCGCGCAAATCTTCAAATCTCCATCCTTCCATTTTCGCGTTTTTTGCCACTCGATGGGCTAAAATTGTGAAGGAGATTTACAATTGTCAATCCATATTATTTCGCTGCTGTTATCTTTGTTTTCACATCGAACCGGCCAGGCTCGATGATGCCGGCGATATATTTCGCGCGCGTTCGTACAATTCACACGGCCCACGCGAAACGCGTTTTACGCGTTGACGTAGGCCTCGCGAATCCAATCACGGAAGTGACTGGTGTAGGTAAATCCAACGTACGAGTTGTAATCGCAGCTGCCTCTGTTCTCCGGGCTTACGCTCACGACGCCGCGAAGATACCAAACGCCGTCCTTCTCGAAGCACAGGCCACCGCCGCTGTCTCCGTCGCATACGCTCGAACCTGATAATTGCGCAATTACTTTCATTACGTACAATTATGAAACAATAAAAAGAAACGTATATTTTCTTCGTGATTTATAGCAGAGATATTCGCAATTGTGTTCACATTAATTACTTCCATTTAACGTCAATTAATTGATATTATCACCGCGACGATCTCATGCAAGTTCTTTATGAACGAGCGAATAAATCTCGCGAATCGTTCACTATACATATAAACTCACCGTTCAAGTGGCCGGCGCAGAACTTGTCGGACGTGAGGAATCCTCGAAAATCTACAGGAACCGCGGACAAACACTGATCGTACGGCACGAACGGCATGTCAATTTCCTGTAAGCTCCTGGTGGATTCGCCTTTGATGTCTTTGCCCCAGCCGGCCACCTGAAATCACAAAGTGAGCTCACGTGTTAACTCCCGTTTTATTTTCTCTTTACATTTCGTTCTCCCCTTCCTGCCGGAGCGACGAGAGAGCGAAACGAGCCGTGCGCACTTGACAAAAATTAGATAGATTCCGCGCCTCCCCGCCCCGCTCGTGAATCGGATATACAGAACTACCCGTCCCGCGAGTACGCGGATGCATGCACTCGCGGGCAATTAACGTGGACACGATGTAACAATGTTCCAAAGCGTGTATAGCACACGCGCGGCCGAAGTTTAGTTCAAAACCGTGCCGTTGATGCAGTTTGCAACTATAGCAGCTCCGCCAAATGTAACTTTCGCTCGGACATTACAAAGCGCCCGTCGTAATTAATTGAATTGCGCTAAGACGGCCAATTAGTCGGTTCCCACGATTGATACTTGGCCCGTGTGTTACCTTGCCGGCGTGTCCCACTTGCAGCTGCTCCCTCTCGTGCGTATTGTCCCAGTCGATGCAGACGGGCCTGACTAGGCTAGTCAGCTCGAAGGGCGTCTTCAACTTGAGTAAAGCTATGTCCTCGGCGAAATTGCCCCTCGCCCCTTGGTACCGGTCGGGCGCCCGGATGCTCTCCACCGACGATTTCTGCGCGTATTTCTCCCTGGCGTTCCAATCGCGATAATGTTTGCCGGCGGCCACGGAGTACTTCGACGCGTCGTGCATTTGGTTGTAGACCTCGTCGTAGAAGCAGTGGGCCGCTACGAATGCACGCGACGAGAGTAAAATCTAAGAATAAAATGATTCATCCGCCATCGGAAAATTTACCTGATACGACGAGATTGTTGTTAATTAAAGTGCCGCCGCATATCTGCTGATACTCGCCCGTGCGCTCTTTGGAGTAAATACCAACGTGCCATGGAAATGCCCCTACTTTAGCCTGGAATCCGCTCACGATTAAGGTGTTGCCGCGCGCGACGGATGTTCCGCATTCTAATTAATCAGAATATCGTTAATACATTTGCAGTACGATGGCACAATAATTGTGGATGATTCGTCGGATCGTATAAATCACTAGCTAGGAAAAATAGTATCTCGAAACTGTAATCTTGTACGTTCAGGACGGCAATTATTGAAGAAATACGTCATGTGGTCTACTAATAGACGGTAGCTGCATGCACGATTGACGTTCAAATTTATCGAGGCTTTTTTCGTTTTTCGTCTCCTCGGAAATCGGGAAGCACGCAAATGACAAGTAGGTATATACCTGGCAGACAGCGAAAAAGGCGACGATCCCATAAACCATCGTCGAGACACGTGATATTCCTGTAAGCCGGATCGTTCGTTAAAGGTAATTTATAAGATGATTTACAGGCGAGTGTAGCCCGCGTACCAGGCAGTATACGCTCGCTACAGGACACCGTTTCTCCCTGGTAGCTGCAGGAAATGTCTACGCTGGTGCTGTTCAACGACGGGCAGATTTCTACGGGGGAGATAATCAACGGAGGAGATGAACAATAAATTTTATATCATACGACGCGTCATTAAATAAGAAGAATGTTGCTTCTAGCAGAGACCTTAACGCCGTCTAATGTCTCTCTGAAGATAAATACGGTGTACAAATAAACTTACTGTGGCACCTAGGCGGCTTGTACCACTTGTTGTCGACACAAACGGAAATGGTGTTTCCTTTCAGCATGTAATTACTTTTACAGGTGTAATTGAGGATGCTGTTTTTGGGAACCATGTCACCAGGACGTTTGGTGCAATGTCTGTTGCAATCGCTCAATTCGTAATGCCCACCTTCCGGTTGTTCAGGCAGGACGCAGCCGTCCTGCTCATTTCTATTTCTATAATTCCGCGAATATGAAAAAATACATTTAATGCCAAAATTTTCAAATAAAAAATGAAGCTGAGAAGGCTAAGAAAAAAAAACGACGACGGAGAAAAAAGACAACAGCAAGTATCATTATTACAAATCCAAGTCTACCAATCGTTATTACAATTCTGAGCCTACTATATTATTATCGTATTCATTCATGTATCAAATAATTCATACGAATAAAAAAAAATACATAGTAAGAAACGTGTAACTTACGCAATACAAGATTCTTCGTCACTGCCATCGCGACAATCAACTTTATTATCGCATTTAACGCTTCGCGGTAGGCATTCGTTATTTCCACAACGAAATTCGTTGTCTCTGATTAAAAATAATTAAAATGTTTTCAGTGTTTCTTAACTAACACGAATATAAAATAAAAATTATCTCCCTCATACATTATATTAAAAAATTAAATATTTTTAACTGAGAGGCAGTGAAATTTGAATTGGCAGATACCTGCACTGTCGACTCTGTGGATATTCATTTCGATCGGATACGCGATCATCTGGACCACGGGGGCTCTCTCTGTCGTAATCGGAATAAGGTCTTTGGGTGGATCCAGCGTTTGAATGTGGATAGTTATCACCATTATTTGAACGAGGATAGTTTTCACCATTATTTGATTGTGAATTATAGTTTTCATCGTTATTTAAACGTGGATAATTTTCATTATTATTTGGACGATAATTTTCATTGTTATTTGAACGTTGATAGTTTTCATCATTATTTAAACGCGGATTGTTTTCTCCCTTATTTGAACGTGAGTAGTTTTCATCGTTGTTTGGACGTGAATAGCTTTCACCGTTATTTGAACGTGAATAGGTTTCGGCCTTATTTGAACGTGAGTAGCTTTCACCGCTATTTGGACGTGAATTGGTTTCGCCCTTATTTGAACGTGAATAGTTTTCACCACTATTTGAAGATGAATAGTTTTCGCCTTTATTTGAACGTGAATAGTTTTCGCCTTTATTTGTACGTGAATAGTTTTCACCGTTATTTGAAGGTGAATAGTTTTCGCCTTTATTTGAACGTGAATAGTTTTCGCCTTTATTTGTACGTGAATAATTTTCACCGTTGTTTGAACGTTGATAGCTTTCACCGCTGTTTGAACGTGAGTAGGTTTCGCCCTTATTTGAACGTGAGTAGTTTTCGCCCTTATTTTGACGTGAGTTTTCGCCTTTATTTGAACGTGAATAAGTTTCACCTCCGGACGAACTTTCAGTGTCCACTTTGTTCCAACCCGAAGGGCGTTTATCGTTCAATCCTGAAGAACTGCCGCCCCCTAATCCAGGAAGACCATGACCACCTGGTGACCCTCTGCCACCACCCCCCCATATATTATGACTCGATGGTCCGGAAAATTCAGTGTTCCCGTTCCACGTGGAACGGCCTGGTGAGCCAGTCGCTGTTGTCTCGTATCGATCAGAAAAACCATCATCTAAAGTCCACGCACGATCCTGTAAGGACGCTAGAAGTGCATAATTTCTGCATAAATGCTCTCACTGATTCTCGAAAAATTTTTTCTATTGTGTATACAAGAAACATTAATATTAATTCCATGTTGAAATTTAGTCATTCGCTAAATAAGAGACTCGTTTAGTGGAAAAAGCCGATCAGCTTGATTGTATTGTAAAATAATGCAAATAAAAAGAGAAGTGCACACACGGAGACGAGAATGAATTCTATAAATTACTCTCAAGGATTCTGCGTATACGCAACTGCTTCAATCTTTAAACACCGCAAAAACCGGTCAATGTAAACTTGTGAGGGAATTCGTGGTCGCGCGTTTATGAATATTCAATCGTCATCCAGCAAGCAGGAATTACGTTCGGTTTCCATCATATTTCCATTCTAATTTCAAGTACGGAAAACCTTTTCAGAAACATCGCGATATGTGTATATTAATAGCGAGAATATTCTCGTCGCACATTGCACATCGTATTTACAATTATTATCCAGGTCGGATTTTACGGGCGTGTCACTTTCATCCGCGCCAGATTAATTTCACTGTTTGCTCGACGACCTGCCCGGTTATTCGACAGCAGCGCGTCGGATGAGAACGCGACGTTTAATCTCGCATAATTAAATCGCATCGCTGCGCGAAGTCGCCAACTTTCGTGGCCGTTCTTCGCACGGAACTCCGTGGCGCGGGAAGACTGCGTCTCGGAAACAACAAGCATCAAGGAGTCGGATCGAAACATTATGTAAGTTACTCACGCGACGGCAGTAAGGCAAGCAACGACAGAGTCACCGAGAATGCAACGCGTGCACTCGTAAGCGGCATGGCTTACGCCGCTCATAGTCGACGAGGAACTAACCGTGAGCTTACGTCAGGCCCAGTCAACATGCGGAATGCCCCACGATAACGTAGAGATCATTTTGCTAACGCGGCGCAAAAGTGGCACTATGCCAGGGAAAGGCCTGAAGAGGATGATACCGTCAGCAAAAAACATTCTTAGAAACGTTCGTAAATCGATGTCTAAGTAAATACAAACAATTTGAGCGCGTGTTATCGAAAAGTGCTTTAGGGTCGCGAAATAATCTCGCTCGCGAAACAACTTCAACATTGTAAACGACATGTTAAAACGATAACGACTAATAAAATTGTAATTTCTTCGTATATATTTTTCGCAATTTAATCTCGACATGATTTTATTTTATTTTATTCGATCAATTCGGCCAATACCGCCTATGTGGCTTGATCTACTTGCTCCGCTATATATGTAATAGCTTCACTGTATAGCTTCATCAATGCGTTCGTTACCACCGAAAGTTGGCAACTTTCGCGCATCGTATTACCCGCGATAAGAGCAAGAGCCGATAAATTCAAGCAACTCGGCTGAAGCAATAATCACGAAAATGAACGTTTTACTCCAGAAACATGGAGCTAAACATATATGCAAGGTCCCGGAAGGATTACGCGAACTATGCACCGACATCGCACGCGAGGTTCGGCTCTATGAACGTTATTTGACTTACCGCCGTCACGTCAAAGGACGATTAAATTATTATCTGATTCGTAAAGGTTCTACGCTCGCAACCGAGGAACATTTATTGCTTCGTTGCTGATTACGTTGAGGCGCTTTTGATTACGCGGGAAAATGCAAAAGGTATGTAGTGCAAAAGGTCCTGTCGTTTGCAGCAATAATTTCATCTGCAACATTGGACATCTTGATATTATTCATTCGCAAACAGACAACGCTAATTGGAACGTTAAGTTAATTAATTACTGATGTTTACATGCATGCGTACCGAATACACCGCGAATCATTATGTAAATTCAAAGGCCGCAGTGAACGACCGCGTGTACATCATCCGCGCGTGTAGTAAAATGCGCGCGCGACAATCGTAAATCGCGGTATGTACAATCGTCCATCGCGCCGTTTCTACAGTCGCACAATTGTACAATTCCAGTCGCGGTGAAAGTCGTAAACAATATTTTATTGAGGAGCCAGGCCATCGTGGGTGTACTTCACCGGAGCGGCTTGAGTTTAGAGCAGATCGCCCGCGTCGCGCCCAGGATTCAGGTATAGAATTTACTGTCGCGTGCCGCGGATAAGGATCCAGCCAGTTAAATAATATTTCACTGGCATTCTTTCCTATCCTTTTTTGCTTTACGTTTTCAGACGGCGTTCCGCGCGTACTTGGACGCGGTAGACATGCGAGCGGCCCAGGTGTGCGACGGTAATTACACGGTGAATTATGTAGAAAAACAATTTTGCGGGCGGGCAGACCCGCCGCCGCCGCGCGCGCGCGCGCGGCATTTCTATAACGCGCGCGACGGACAAAAAAGTACGCGAGAGAAATTCTTTTCCTTTCGACCGCAGACGCGACATACGACGAGAGGTCCAAGGTATCTCTGCAAAGTATTCTGCAAGCGTCGGGGGTCCCACTGGAACAGGCGGAGAAGTATGCCACGATAATACAAGTATGCGTTAATTACCGTGCGAGACCTAACGAGAGAGACCTCTTCATCATGGATCTTTTATCGTGGGATCCGCGGCTCTTTGACTCATTTTCGGTGTTATTAATCAGGCCGCCTTCCGCGGGCATTACGAGAGGATGCAGTTAAACGAGTCCCGTGGCATGATTCAATGGCAACGAGCGGCAACGAGAACCCTCGAGATCCTGAGAAAGGCGGGTGCTTCGCAAGCAGAGGCGTCGAAAGCCGCCATTCTAATACAGGCTACTTACCGCGGCTACTATACGAGGAGAAACCTAAAAATGAAAATGAGTAAGATCACTCACAGATTCGCTTCGGCGCATTTAGAATAGTATTTCAAATCGTATTCACGACCTTCGCAGAGCCTGTGCCGCAAGAGGTAGAAGACTCGATAGAACCTAGAGAAGCCGTTCAAGCAGTAGCTTGGTTGGATACGATGTACGAAGACTCCGAACTGACACCGATGAAAGCTGCATCCATTATACAAGTAAAATTATTTTATATATTATCTCTATATTCTATATTATTTTATATGTATATTAAAATCATATACATATCATATTTTATGAAATTTATGCCGAACAACTGAAGAGAAATAATTATTAATTGTTGCGAATGTCATATAGAAAGCTTACAGACAGTATCTCGAGAAAAAAAATGGCTCTAACTGTCTGGTAGAATCAACGAGACCAACAGTACCGAAAGCGATGACGTACGAAGACTCAGGACTGACATCGATGAGAGCAAACGAAGCTGCATCCATTATACAAGTAAGTAAAATTATTTTATATATTATCTCTATATTGTATATTATTTTATATATTAAAATTATTGTATATACATTATATTTTGCCAAATTTGGAATGCAGAAAAATTAAAGACATAATTATCGTCACGAATATAGAAAGCTTACAGACGGTATCACGAGAAAAAAAATGGCTCTAACCGGCTGATAGAGTCAACAAAGTCAGCGGTGCCGGAAGCGATGTACGAGGAATTAGGACTGACACCGATAAGAGCAAATGAAGCTGCGTCCATTATACAAGTAAATAAATCAAGTAACTCAAGTTATTTAAATATATTATGTAAAATTATTACATATCATATTTTGGCAAATTTATGCAAAAAACTATAGCGAAATAATTACCAATTGTCATGAATGCCATATAGAAAGCTTACAGACGGTATCGCAGGAAAGGAAATAACACTAACCCGTCGGTAGAATTAACGAAATCAGTTGTGGCGGAAGCCATTCTCAAAAATTTGCATCAGAAGGTTTTCGACGAAGTCCTGGCGCGCGCGGACATTCCCACAGAATTCGGTAATCGAGAGGACTTGACGAAGGCTGGCGAGGAACTTCAACGGGCTTTTAAAGATCGACTGATGCGTGCTCGCATGGCGGAAGAAGGTGGCGTTTTCTGTACAAAAGAATATTCTTTTTAAATGTGATTTTACAATGAGAGAGAGAGAGAGAGAGAGAGACTGGAACTATAGCATAAAATTAAAAAAAAATATTTCTATATCATTTATCTCAATATGCGAACAGGTTACGACGAGGGACACGTAGAAGAGCTCGGCGAATCGTTTCAGAAAATGGTGAACTCGATCGGCGTGGCGGAAGATTGGCAAGAAGATCGAGAAATCGAAGTAGAACCGGAACGTGACGACGAAATAGACGCGTACGTGCAAGACTAGCGTCGAAAAGAGAACTTTCCAGAAAGGGGAGGCGAAAGCGTCGCACGATGCTGCGGGAATCCTTTTTGGGGACCGGTGGGATGAGCCAATTAACATGGAAGCTGTGGGTGAAAACGAGTGCGAGGAAAGAAACGAGACAACGAGCGTTACGACGAGCACAAAGAGCAACGGCAAGCGAAAAGCTGCCTCCGGAGGCTGTGCCGAATGTCGGAGACACCGGTGGTTTTTAATGCACATGCTTACGTTCGATAATTCCGTTAAGCGTGCCGCGCTTCCGTAGCGAGCTTTTAAAATTCCCCCGGACGGAAACTGGCTCTCTGGCACGCGTATTACAAGTAAAACAAGTTAAAAGTTAATTGTCCCGCCTATATAACGTTAATTTAATTCGGGCAATACCGGGCTAAACCGTTTCACGGGCTCTCGTCCAAAATTTGATTTGCATAATTTTTATTCTCAACGTTTAGCGTTGTAATACTCCACTACATTATTTCGTTTCGTTAATACGGCGGGCAAGTAAGTTCTCGCGGGAAAAAAAGTCAATGCAATTGGAACGGGGGAAGGTGCAAAAGCGCGTGAGGATTTCGCTCAATTTTTTGCACGTCGTTATACGCGATATCTACCGTCACGATCAAAATGTAAGTAGATAGAGAAACACAATTTTAAATAAATTTTAAATCATTTTTTTATTCCAATGGCTCGCGCGCACGTGTGCACGCGATAGATATTGTTGGACGTTGAAAATAACTAGAAAATGGCAAAATTGACGTAAAAAGTCCGCGAACGTGTTTACGGAACGAAATTGAATTAGAAGACACGTCTACAAGACGGTCGACTTGAGCAACAGCGGGTGGCGGCCGTCTCGTTCAAAGGGGACTTCAATCGGTCGAATTCACCCTCTGGCGGCCCGTGTCGGCCACATCCACGACCACACGTTCTCGCGGCGGCGGTTCCGCAGCTCTCGCAGTGCGCAGCACGGCAAACGTGTTTCACGCTCGGCCCCTCATGCGGAACCGCGTTCGCGATCTCAAGCGACGATCCCTGATGCTGATCGATGATTTCCGAAGTCAACGATTTGTTACACTCGTCCTTGTCCCCCGTCCTGTCGTCCGATCGCGCCCCGTCCCCGCACCGTCTGCCGCGCCACTTCCTGCCGGCTTTATATTTTTCAGCGAGGATGCACATGGAGTCCTTGTGATTGATAACAGCCACACCGTCCTCGTCCTCCTCGTCGTCGTCGTCGTCGTCGGCAGCGGCGGCGGCGGCGTTCTTTTCCCTGCGCTCCTCGTCGTTCCGCTCACGAGAGACGGGTATTATTCCAGAATACTCCTTCGAGTAACACTGCCGCGCGTACAATCGACCATTCTCACCTCGCATCTGATCGCGCCAGCTTTTGTGCTGAGCTCTCTCGCCGGAGATGCCGCTCCCGCGCGTCTCGCATCTGCAATATGAATGATGCGAAGAGAGTGAATTAAACAGAGATTGCAGCTGCGGGGCGTTTTCATCCCCTCAGCCACATATCTTCCGCCTCATCCCTTCCCCACTTACACGACTTCTTTCCTAAAATAACGATCATATTTTATAAAATTTGTCGGAAATACGTGAAGTACGACGATCAATACTTCACGTATGAGTATTCTTAATATTACAAATCTCTTTAATATTATAAAAAGATCTCTTATATATTAACCCTTTGACAATTTTGCACAAGCTGTCACGCTGCTGATAGCAGCAGTGCCGATGGGAGCAATAATCGCAATCGTGGTGGTGGTAGCACCCATCGCGGCAACGATCGCACGACGATCTCGACGGACTCGGAATAGAATCTTCGCGCGGATGACACTCGCACTGACATCGCCAGGTCGAATCCACGATTTTCCGATGGGTCGTCAAGATGCTCGCCCTCGTCCACGTGTCTTCGACACCCGAACCGTGACCCCGAGTGTCGCCGATAACGACGCCCTCCTCCGCGTTGCCTCCGTCAAGATCGATGGATGTTCTGTGACAACTCGTCGACACGAACTCCTTGCTTCTGTCCCCGGTAAAGTCGCCGCACGCGACCCTATGCCTCTCACAGGGTGCGGAGTCGCACGGAAGATTTACGCTCGGATCCACGTTCGAGCACGGTCTCACGGACGGGCAGCGCGCCTTACAATGATGATAAGACGTTGAACGCGCGGATTGCGGGATCCGTTCTGTCGCTCTGACAGCTTCACCGTCGTCCGTCGATCTCGACGCTACGTCGCATCTGCATTCGCGAAAAGGGGAGGATGATTTTAACGGGAGATATTTTTAACACGTTTTCCCACGCCAATTCCATTAATCTGTCATCCGTGATGCCGCATGAATAATTGGTAACTATCGGTCGTGTTGTAGCCGAAATATCAAATAGCTGAGCAAGCCCGTTTAATCAAAATATCAATGACTGAACTAAAAATTCAGCGTAGATTACCGCGATAACCCACGCGGCTCGGGATGTATTAATCACAGCACTTTTCCTCTTTGCGAGATCTTAAGCGGCGAAATGTGCAAAGTCTTTTTCTCATTATGAGTTTGATAAGAACCACTTTTTTAAAGCGTGTCGTATCTCTTCATAATGTCTGCGAACGCGATAACAGAACGATAAGTACAATCGTTAGTTCATTTGCTGAAAACGTCGCGAAGCGCCGAGAAGTCGCAAACAGGGGGGGAAGAGGGGGGAACGAACCTGTCCCGGTCGACCGATTTCGCAAATACATTTTTACGATCGGCGTCCAACGGCGCGAACTCCCCGCACTCTCTGCTCGGCACGGTATCGACCGCATCTCCGCCGCTACTGCACTCGTCCCGCAGCCCCGAAATGTTCTCGCCGACGTCTCTTGCCTGGCAGCAACTGCAGCTGATCGAGTTCTCCTTGCTGCAGGAACGGTCGTAGTCGCGATTCCGCACGCTCGTCGGACATACGTGATCGGACCTCGAGTTGTACGCGCGTCTCACCAGCGTGGAGCTCGATCTCGCCTGATTGATGGGCCCCTCGCGGCTCGTCGCGGTTTTCTGCGTCTGGAAATGTGCATCCGTCAGAAGGGCAGTTAACAAATCGTCCTCGATACGGCCGGCGTGAATCATGACACGAAAAAAAAAAAACGGTATCTGGTCCAAGGCTCAAGTACAAAAATGATCATAAAAGCCTTGAAACTGACAACGCATAGATTTGTCATTAATTTTTTTCTTACGCAATCTATTTAAAAAAGTGTCTCATTCACAATAGATGGATCGGTGTGAACCTTTGTACTTCCGGATGTACGTTCCACGGCGCTTTTCAGGCCGAAGTCCTTCGGAAATTTGCGGCGGGCACGTCGAAAAGCGATCGCTGCTGCGACAAGCTGATGAGACGACGACGGACAAAGCGACATTACCGAAAAGCGATTATGGTCGCCGCGAGCATCCCTGTGATGTGGTACCCGGTTCAGGCGATGGTCCTGATTACGATGATCGATTCTGGAAATTCTGGAATAGTCGAGACACAGCCTCTACCGCCTGTTGCCCAACGAAGCACAAAATATTTCCCGCGTGGAGGAAGGTTACCGATCAATATCGCAATCGACGCATGTAATTTGTCAATTTATACACGCGTGACACGGTCGTCCGCGTTAGCTTCACCCTTGACGATCCATAATGACATTTAAAGACCGTTTTTCGTACACGATACTGAATATTTTAAGATTTTTATCTTGAAGTAATTTTATGTCAACATATTCTTTAAAAAATTATATTACAAGAATTATATTTTAAGAATTGTATCCAACAGCTGGATATGTATCGTCAAGAATAAAATCGATCTCTCCTTATCGTTTCTCGCGAATTTCGAACGGAGCATTGAGCATCCCGCAGCGATGCTTTAATAGTCGCGCGGACACGCGGCAAAAATTCCCTCTCGAACTTTCGCTTCCGGAGGAAGAATTTACCGCGACGACGGCGATACAGCGCGCCCCGCGCTATCCGGCAAATTAAACTTCCCCGAAGTATCGGGGAACGCGGTTGGGTAACACGAGGAGAAGGCTGCTGGTTTTCTGACGTAGCGGCTAACAGACCGCCAGATCGGGATAACGAGCGAGTCCTGCGGGCCGCCGGCGGCTTTATCGAATTTGTATCGAGCGGAATTTCGCCCCTCGCTCGCCGTTCCCCCGCCTCTGCTCTGGAAACGCGGACGCCTTGGTCAGGATTTGATCGCCGTCGCTGCTACTGCTGCTGCTGCCGTTGCCCCTCCTCCTGTCAACCCAGCGGCGTTTAACGGGGCTAATTGCGACGATTGCTCGCTGCAAATGGAAACGGTGCGGTTTTACCGCTGTTTGCCAAATCGCGTCGACGTGGAAAACGGCAATCCATTCTGCGCGGCAGAAACGCGACGATACGCAAAGGCCGTCGGACATGAAAGTAGCTACTCAATTGGCAATAACGATTTATTTTATTGGCTTTGCCATAAAAACTGCATATATTGTTATACGTGTTACATGTCTATCTATAAGTAAATGAGAGAGATGATAGTTTCGCCGAGAGGAAACATATAAAGTAGATTATTACTCGCGTGCGAGTATATAAAACAAGTGACCTTCGGACGTACGATGATAGAATAGTTTGATCAAAATAACAGTTATCTGTTTTCAATAACATACATACACACATATATACATATGCATATGTATATTATACATATTGCGTGATTCTCGAGAGATGAGTTTTACAATTAATACAATTAATTAATAAGTAACTATCTTGCCAGCATTATTTTCATTATATAATCTCACTGTGTTTTTCTCGATCTCTCACTTCGATTCACTCACTCATTCACTCTCACCTAGTATAGAAATTAAATTATACCGTATAAATAATCTTCAACATTTTTACAAATTTTTACATACTGCTCAGTATTCTCCCTCCTTAAAATAGATTGTTAAATTAAGAACTGTCATTAGGAACACACAATTGAGTGCGAATAACACGATGCAGTTCCAGTTATTCGTATTTACATCAGATTCTTTGCAGTTTGGTTCTCGTCACTTCGTTATTACGTCAGCCGTTTTAAAACAATGTCACTTTCATTTAAATTGCATTGGTCAGTATCAAGATATAAGAGACAGAGCGTGAAGTGCTGCCTGCTGTAGTTTTATGACTTTTTAATTCATCCACGGTGGGCAGGACGGCTGATATGTCTGAGAGATTGGCACCTGGTAATGCTGCATCGTTTGTGGAGGATGCTGCGGCCGCGGTTGTTGATGATGCGGCGGCGGTGGCGGCGGCGGATTGCAGATCGATTGCATTAATGGATGCGCGTTGTAAGGCGGCGGTTTCGTCGTGTAGGGCGGCATTTGATTGTATTCGACGTTCAATGACTGCTCTAACGCGGCGTTCGGGGTGGGAGAGCGGTTACCGTCAGCGGGACCTGAGAACAGGCATCACCACAGATATGAAGATTTTTCAATAATCATCGTATCGTGTAAGAATTACGTTTATAATATGCAACTAGGTTCTAAAAAGAGATTTCTCATTTTTGACTTTTATTATTTATATCGAGGAAAGGACGATATATATAATCGCAGAGATTGTCAACATTTTAAGATAATAATAGTTTGACATGATGAATGAAATATCTTACCTCGTGGCCTGATTTGAGGTGGAGGCATATTAATAGGAGGTAATCCGGGACAGACTGCGGCAGGTTCCCCTTCCCTCGGAATCGGCGGTGGTCTACCCCAAGGAACCCTCATGTGATGACTTTGCCACGGCGCCTGCGGCGAAGGTAGAGGTGGTAGAGGTGGACCGTTGCCGACATGAATATTTCCAGATTCCGCCATTATGTTTGGATCATTTCCTATTTACGAAGTACATTGTACAATCTAAATTTGCATAACAAATATGTATAAAACTTTTGCGGTATAACATGTCGAACGTACCTGAAGACAGTCCTGCAGGCTTCTGGTCCAGATTCCGTTTCTCACCTAAACGATAAGACACATGATATAGAGGGAAAAGATACAGCATACTCTTAAGTACTTAACTATACGTAACATAATGTTGTATTTAACATGGCAAATTATGCGATGAAATATTGTAATGTAATGATAAACTTAAAAGTTCTCGCTGTGTTCAACGAAACACACGCATACACGTATAAATTAATCTTGACGGTTTCAATATCTATTGAACGATATGTTCACAAACGAAAAATGTAAAATTAAATTCTTTTTCTGAATTTGGATCCAAATCTAATTGCAAGAAGATTGTTAAAATTGTATCTGTATTGTAAGACTGCTGCCGGGATTTTCATCTTCCGCTTGAGACGTGTCACTGTAGCAATAAACAGAAATTTAGTTTTCTAGATTTGAATCTAATCTTACAAAGCTAAATTAAATATTAGGACAATATTTCACGCCATTAACCATTGCCAAATCAGCAGAGCGATTTGGCAATCGCTATTTCGAGTCTGAAAGCAAGCAATGCAATTTTTACATTCTTATGGATATTAGATGGTTACCGCTTAATTGATGGGTTATCAATTGCACTAAAAATTTGAAGCCATACAATTATTAGCTATCTGGATATAAAGTAAATTCAAACATTAAAACTGTATATCCTCCAAATTTCTTCCTCTCTTTCCGTTATGGATAACTGCTCAGAATACTGCAATAAAAACGATATCACTAATATAATATGCACAAATCATGTGTTATTATTCCGTATCAATGTTACATAACCTATAACATTAAATATATATATATATATATATGTAAACGAAGCGATCATCTATATTCCTTCCTTGGTAGTAATCTCTGGCGCGGACACGTTTAACCTAAGAAATATAAAAGTCCAAGGCATTGAACTTAAAATAGTAATATCAAAAATATATACGTATAATATGCCTTAACATAATCCTAATATTAAATATAGTTAATACTGGATAAACAAACACTGAAGTGTAGAAAATCGCAGGTTACACTTGCATCTGAAAACGCAGCTTATTTAATAAAAACGACACTATAAAAAAAAGCATTGAAATTAATATACTTGAGACACCGTCGCAACTGTATAAACTGTATAACACGTGCAGTGCTTTTGTCTAATCTAAAATAATAATAAATAAATTTAAAGATAACTGTATGTCAAAGCGTTCTATGCACAATGTGAGATTGGAATACCCCATATTATTTCCGGATGTCCATCTCTGCAGGTATCTTCAACAAATGCATAAACAAGCAATTCGCTAAGACGTAAATTAAAAGATCAAGAAAAATTTTTATGATATGCTTACCAAGAAATATTATTTACATTAACGATATACTACGTCTAAGAGTATTAAGAAAACAATGCTAGATATCTATCTGAAGTATATTTTATTTCTTAAAATTAATTATATCTGACATTCAAATTATACCCATATGACTAGATATATAATAAAAAAATAAAATTGCCAATAATCAAATTGTATTAAAGAAGAAATCCAAAGTCTTGAGGAAATAAAGTTGAACACCTTCAAAAATACAATCTTTTTACTGGCATACTTTTTTATAATATTGCATTTCCAAAAGATATCCAGCAATTTTTCAAGCTAAATACTCTTAGTTACAGACCTGGATGTGGAGGTGGCATAAGCATCTTGTCTCGATCTCCATGTGGCAGACCCGCAGGTGTAGGTGGACCATGTAAGACTTGCTGATGTCGATCACCTTCTCTGCTTAAACAATGCAGGGTGCGAATTATTAATTCCAAAATAACGACATGTACAGAAACGTTTCAAGCATTAAGACAAAAATCACCTGATGCACACCCTCGGATATTTCTGAAATGTGGAAAATACCTGGTTTTACCAGATCACAGTTAATGATGTCGAGAGAAACTTACATTTAGTATATTCTTAAGAACACAATTGTAATGTCGCAGGACATTACAATTACGTTCAGATAATCTGTGTGTGTATGAGTATTTTAATTTCTATTCTAAGTAGCAACTACATCGTCGCACTTTCCATCTCTTTTGGCTCATTACTTACACTAAAAAAAACACATATAATTGGTGGTCTGGCAAAAGCTGTATTTAGTGATTCTAATATAGAATTATGTGTAACATGAGGAAAATGCAAGTATATTATTATCTTTGCATTAAATTTTGCAAAGATAATAAAATTGCTTCATATTTTTAAAAATCTATACAACCATGCAAAATTCAAAGGAAGGAATAACGTTTTATGTGTGAAAGAGCAAGATATACCCATAACAAAATTATTAAACATTTACGAGTAACGCAAAGTTCAAATTTTCCAATCAAATTAAATTATTTTCGAAAGCTCTGATCTCACAAGTTCAAAAATTTATTATTTTAACATGGATATATCTGGATCTTACAGTTAATAATTTTTGTCCATACAGTTATTAACTTATTAGATTTTAGAGAATATCAATATCTGTGAATAAAAAAATATGAAATATTACAAAAATCTCACGAAATAATTAAATTTTTTATTTTTTGCACTTTTAGTATTATTGTGCAACACCTTATAATGCAAAAGCAGGTTTCTGTAAAAAAAAAAACAACAATAATGACTCACATTTTCTTCATGTAATTCTACAACAAATTTCGCACTTGCTACAAGTGAAGCATAAGCGATCTGAAGCAGTTGTTTCTTTATCAATTTCTTTCTTCGTATCGATAAAGTTCTTTCTAATCTTCGATTAAATTCATTGCACTATAGTATCCTAAGATTCTGTTTACACTATAGTATCCTAAGATTCTGAAAATCGTCAGCTTTTTTTTTTAGTAGTATTTATTTGGAAACTTTACACACTTGGTAGACCAGCTTTATTCGAGCACACGAGTTTTTTCCACGGTCTACCAAGGTATAGCTAGAATTAGTTAAAGTTAATTTATATACTCCTCCATTATACATAAGTAGTATGTACATAGGTGCATAGGTACATGCAACTGTTTACACTTTATACAAGGAGTATATAATGTAACCTTATCGGAGTAATATAAATTTATGCATTATAGCATCTCTATAAAGAAAAGTAATTGTATTCTCTCTTTCTTCGGCTTACCCTGTGCCGTGCCGTTGCGCAGGTAACGGAGTACACTGATACGGCGGCGGTGGTGGTGGTGGTGGTTCCTGTGGCACATATTTTAAAAGAGATTCGTAAGAATTGTCGTACGATTTCCACCGCATATCTCAATCTGATATGCATATATTTGCGCAGACGACACTTACCTGACCTCCCTCAACGTCCGAAAACCTTCTCTTTACTCCGTGTGATTTTTGCTGTTCTGGCGAATCGGGCTTCTGCTCGAATTGCTGATGAGGCGGTTGCATCGCGTAATGTATGTGACCGTTTTGATATTGCATGTGTTGAGGATGATACTGTATTTGAGCTTGAACTTGCGGCGGAGGTACGTTATGAAGAGGTATATTCTGCGGCGGCATTTGCATCTATAAATAATTGCGAAAGATCACATATCACACATTCATCATGAAAAGCAAAGACATTGGATATCAATTGTTGTTACCTGCAACTGCCCTTGCGGTTGTGGCATTTGCTGCGGCTGCTGAGCTTGGTACAGCCACGGAGCGTTCTGCGGCGGTGGCGGCTGCGTTGGCGGCGGCACGCTGGTAAGAATATTCATGGAATTCTGCATCTGGCCGATCGACGGCGGCGGTACTATTTGCGGAGGTGGCACCGGCTGCGGCAACGGTCCCTGTTCCATCGGGCCCTCCTGATGCTGAATCTCGCCGGGAGGAAGCGGCGGTTGTGGATGATGGGGAGACTGAGCGTTAGGTACCAGAAAAGTCTGCGCGGACGGCGGTGGAGGTACTTGTAAGTGGAACGGCGATGCGTGACCCTCGAATTGCGGAGGTATTATGTGCTGCGCGACACCCTGAGATTGCTCGTGATTCTGTTGCATCTGCGGCGGAACGATGTGCTCGCCAGGCTGCAGGACGAACTGCATTTGCGACTGCGACACGGGTGCCTGCACCTGCTGATACTGTATCTGATAGGTTTGCGGGACGGGAGGAGGCGGTTGATTCGGCGGAAAGTTCGGCGGCGGGAAATGAAGATGCAACAACGGCGGTGGCGGTTGTTGCGTTATGTTCAACGGCGCCATGGGAGGAGGTTGTTGCAAATTGACGTTGACGGTCTCGATAATTCCTTGGGACGGCGTGGCGGGCCTTTGCATGTTCGGCTGCGTATATACATACGACACCGCCCCGTTCACCGGCGCGTTGTTGCTCGTTATGAAACTCTGCTGCGTGGGGCTCTGCGGCGGCGGTTGACTCATGACATACATTTGCGCCACAGGCTGCGGCGAGGATTGTGATCCTGGTTGAATTCCTTGGATTTGCAATGGCTGACCGGGATGTATCTGATACTGAACTTGGCTTACTGTTGACGGAGGACCGATTAGTTGTACTTGCCCAACAGGTGGTGGCGGCATAAAAGTTTGTATTTCCTTCAATAAGAATGTTCATTTATATTAAAAAATTTATTTTTTTTTCAAGCGATCTTATATCTTAATTTGAGTCTGATAACTTACTTGAGCTTGTGGAGGTGGAACTAATGGTCCAGAGTGAGGTGGTATATGTACTCCTGGAGGAGGCACTGATACACCATGTCCTGGAGTACCAGCTACGGTAGCCGTAAGAATTGTTGCAGGCAATGTTACAACATTACTTTGTGAATGTTGTATGATATCTGTTACATAAGATGTAAAATATGTTGAAAAATGTATATCAACTTGAAAAAAAAATTATATTCTTATAACAGTCATCAATGCGCAATTCTACCTTGATGCTGTATCGCAACTACGTTTGGCTGTCCTAAGCTACCAATATTCATAGTTTGGAATTGGGCTGTAAAAGAAAAAAAAATTATGTACGATTTAACATGTGACTAAATAATTGTCTTAATTTTGCAAATTAACAAATACATACTTTGTGGTATCTGTGATTGTTCTATAACTTGCTGAGGTTGAATCGGTGGTGGTTGTTGCTGAATATAAGTTTGTAATTCGGACTGTATCGTTTGAATTAAGTTAATAGCCAATTGTTTTGCATTTTGCAGCGCTTCTGGCTTTGGATGCCTAAACAAATAGTATTTTATTAATTGTAGCTTATATTTAATTACAATCATTACTACATGCCACAAGATCTCAGGCGTTCTTACTCTATGTACAAGTGGAGTGGTTCCGGAGATTCTGCTCCCAAAACTGGATCAATAAACTGAGATCCTCTACCTCTTAAGGTTACATTTGCTCCAGTTTCGCCTCTAATATAAATTAAATTTGCATCACCCATGCCCAGTATACGTCCGCGTAAATCAAAACCTTGTGGCGCATTCTCGATACCAATGCAAATCTTCTCCTAAGAAATTGCACATATCAGTCAATAATACATAAGAGAACTGATAAATTATATATGAGATACGAATAAAAGATATCCACCACAGTGGTAACTCCAGAATGTAAGCTCATAAGAGGTGGCGGAGCATTTGTAAACCTGCTTGGTCTATTCAGTGAACTCTGATGCTCCGTTTTGATAATTTCATTGATTTTTTGTATCGCCACTGTATCAAATGAAATATCCATTAGATATGCGAATTGGTATTAAAATTTTTTTAAAAATAATACAATACGTACGATCAACATTATGTTTTGCGTGTCCCTGTATGTAAAGATACAATGGCCTTTCATTTGGGCAACGTAGCTTTTCTTGTTCCGTCATAAAACGCCCACGTGTCGATACAGTTGCTCCTATAAGTTACCACATAACATATAATATCGATACATATATACAAAAAAAAATACATAACTCAAGCTGAAGAGAAATTTCACCTGAATACGAATTAATTTCATCCTGCGTGTAGCCCTTGGTAAGTAAGGTTCTAGCGCTGGGTGGTGTCTCGTTAATCTCAAATTCCGACGTATACGTTTCTCCATTTTTAAATGCTGCATTTGACGCTGTTATCTAATTACAAAAGAGACCATATCGATTTAAAAAAAATGTAAAGTCATTCTCGTAAATCATGCACACAACACACACACATACACATACACATAATATAATACATACCTTATTGGAGTCAGAACCTCTTATTTTTCCCTTAGCCATAGAGACAAAATGTACACTACTGGAAGCAATGTGGCAATTCTCATGATCCCAACATTTTCGTGGGCTGTGAATTAAAATTGAAACGTAAGCCACCGTGCAGCTTAATGAATCCAGAAGGCAGGAGTGCAACGATTTACCTCAGCACGCGCCATAAAGTTCTGCCAAACACCGAAGCTCATAAATCATCGGAGCGGATAGGTTAGGCTTCTGCGTAAATCGCCTTGACAGTCACACATCGCAAACGCGCACTTTGCACGGTCAATTATCTCAAATGCTCAAGTTGCATTGAAGTCGTATGCATCGATCGCGTATTTTCCATGTACCGGGTAGTTAAATGTCGTTCGCGAGATTACGATAAAAATTCACTCGATCGTGAACGTGAACTGAACCATGGTCAGAGAGAAGCATGAGAACGGCCATCTCGGCGTTTTTCGCAAAACACCGAAAAACTCCCTCGTGCACCAGCGCCAATCCACCTTTGAGATAGAACTACGTAGCATCGCCATTTTCTGATACTGCCGATAAAATCATGGACAGGTTCGAGTCAGGGCTACATCAGATATTGTCGATAAAATATGGTGCGTGTCCGTGCTATATCCACAAAGTGGATGGAGAATATGTATATGTATACAATATATCATTACATATATTTACGCGTAATTTTTCTCTTGTTAAAGCCTAGAGAAAATATTATTGGAGTCGGAAAAATAAGCAAACAAAGATTGATATTATATCACGTACACAAGAATCACGAAAGACTAATTCTTAATATTTTATATGCAAAACTTATATAATGTATATGCATATATTCTGTTTTCACTTTGCATAAGGACATTTCGACAAAAAGAAAGAATAACAAATTATCCCGTTTCCTTATTTTATTGATAATTACATATAACCGAGAATATTTTGCATATTATATTAAGTAATTATATTAAAATAAATTATAGAAAATATATGGATTATTGTTACAAACAAATATTACTACCGTCATAAACGAGACAGAGTATATATTGATGCTGCATTTTGCGAAGTACATAGAGCATTTTTTGAAAAAAAGATGGATATATTGTCAGCGCCCTGCTGCAGCACATGGCCGGAGAATTACTGCCAAAGTATCAGATGCGCGATTGCCGTTCGCAATTGTATAATTAGATGCGAAATTTACAATCTTTATTTATATAGAGACAATATAAAATAATTATTATCATTAATTCAATTTATTTATTTTAGAAAGAAATTATAATTTTCTACTTGTTTATCAAATTTTATAATACTTAAAAGTTTATATTTAAAAGATATGATTCTTGGAAATATTTAATTTTTTTATTAAAATATCTGTTTGAAAAATGAATAAAGAATTTAGAATGCGCGTAATTATTTTTTGAAAGATAATTAGATATTTTGGGCACTGTGAAAGGTTGCAATAATTTTACAAAACAGGCTTGAATTTAAAAAATCTGATGGTCATATTTCGCTTATTTTACAAAACGAGTTTAAGACCATTTAAAGAATGTGACCATATTTCACTTATTTTACTAAGCAGTCTTGAGCTCCTTTAAAAAAATCTGGCCATATTTTGCTCATTTTTTAAAGCGGTCTTGAGTTTCTTTAAAAAATCTAGCCATATTTTGCTTATTTTACGCGGGCTTGAGTCCCTTTGAAGGATCTGACCGTATGGTCTAGATTCAAACTTTTTAAAATAAATGTTTATACTTTTCTAAATTATAAAAATATTTATAATTTATTCGTCTTTTCCTCTCTACACATTTTAACGCATTTTAATTACATTGTTACAATACATGAAGCATTAGCAAGTCTAAGAACAAAAATAAAAATATGTAATAATTTCATATAGATTTGTTCTGCTTTCTCAGAAAAAAAATAAATTAAAATTTTAGTTAATTCTGTCATACATATGTCATAGTAGATGTTTGTGGTTACAGGCATGAAACCGAAAATGAAGAATCATTATAGAGCGCATCAGCCGAGGCATTAGCTGTCGCATAGCGACCCCAGTCTATATGACAGCTTTGCGAGACCAGATCCTCTTACAATTAGCAGGATCAGCGAAGAGTTCAAGAGGAAGAACCTTAGCACGGATCCACCAACCATGACAGATTGTAGCATCACGACATGCGCCAGTCTTATTCCGGGCACCAATCTTCAAAACGTCCATAACGCCAGCACCGACACATTAGCCAGCCTTTGGACGCTGGGTGGGTGGTAATTATCCTGATTTATAAAGATATCAAAGTTATTTTCCCAAATTTAAATAGATTAAAGTACTTTTATTTATAGAAATCTCCCTTTACCAATTTGGAATCGATACGCGATAAATATCATTTCCTATGAATGAATATTTATTGAAATGGCCCGCGCATTTATAAGGAAAACAGATTGTGCCACAAGTGAAATAACAATTGCAACAAAAATCGAATCATTTCGTAACTCTGATATATTTTCGTAAAGAACTATAATTTGGGAAAGCCTTGGGGGAAGCAACATATATCAGAATACAATTGAGTTACTAAAAACAATTCTAACAAGTATAAGAATTGCATCATGATTGCAAATCCAAAATATATCAATTATCGATTGATAAAATTCTCGTTTCTTATTTCTTTGCAACATGCTTAAAAAATTCAACAAAATTGAGTGCCGTTAACGGCGTAAGCTGAAGCGCATTTTATTCTTTAACTTACTTCAAATCTATCGGCAATTCCCCCAACATGTCGATATATATGTTCGGCCAGTAAAACTTTGCCCATAACAAAATGACATAAGATGAAACGTCATTTCGTAGCCATAGTTTCACGAGAATATTTTAGAGTCATAAAATTTGCATCGTATGGGTATTCTCAGAGTATATGGTAGCTAAGCAACTGTGTGCTTTGGAGAACTCCTATGCTGCTGTAATAGTTTTGGAATTAAAATTTGTTGCAAATTTTAATAGAATTCTAATTTCTATTATCTAAATAAATTTTCGTTTACACTGTGAATTTGACTTGAATGTCCCTCGTATAAATAATAAATAATTAATTTCACATGCAAAAATTAACGAAGAATTAATTTGGTCTCTAATTTTGTGTTTTAAGAAAATCTTATATAATAGAAATATATATTGTATATTTATGATGTATAGGATTTGAGATCTTTTATTTTTCCTTTTCAAAATGCATTAAAATATAATACAACTATGTGGAAAGCATATTTGTACATATATCACAAAATACAAAATTTGTATTAATACCAAAACTTCGAGGATAAGTCAAAAATTATTTACACTTTTGTTTCCAACACAATTTTTTCCATAAAAGTAGGGGTTCAACAAGTACATCATTTTTCTACATAGTCTCCTTGCTTTTCAATGCACTTGGTCCAGCGATCCATATTCTGTATTCTCTCCAGGAAAATTTTTGGTTGGTCGCGCAGATATTTATGCACCGCTTCCTGTACCCCGATTCTGTAACTCTTAATGATAATTCAGTATCGTTATATTGTCGTTGCGCAGCTTTTTTACCATCCAAAATATCAGCGCAACGACAGTGTCGGTATCATTATACATTGCGTCATTGCGCAGATATTTTGTATGGTAAAAGAATTGCGCAACGATAATATAACGATAATAAATTGTCGTTAAGAGTTACAGAATCGGGATACTGGAAGCAGTGCATAAATGTCTGCGCGACCAACCAAAAATCTTCTTCCTGGAGGGAATACAGAAGCTTGTGGATCGCTGGACCAAGTGCATTGAGAAGCAAGAAAACCATGTAGAAGAATAATGTACTTGTTAAACCCCCTTTTATAGTAAAAATTGTGGAAACAAAAGTGTAGACAATATTTGACTTACCCTCGTAAATTCCATTACAGCAGATTCCAGGATTAAATTAATTACCTACATGTAAGTATCTGCTTTTATCGTAATTAAAAATTTTTCAGCCAATTGTTTCGGCTACTAAATTCGGCAACAGTTTTGATTTTTTTTTATTAAAAAAAAGGCGCTAGCTTTTTTAGTTCATTAACTCGATGTTGTAGGGACAAATTTTGTCTTTTGTAATGTGCGAAATGTACCTCAAAGTCTATAAAAATCAAAATAATATGATGGAAATAAAGTTCAATTAGGATCATTAGATGTATTTGTAAACGTTGAAAATACATACACTTTTTTAGATCGCTCTTATTCTAGGGAACCGCGGTGCCTTGAAAGCTGCCCTTGTGGATAATTGAGTTTGATTTGAATTGTTTTCATTTTCTCAGTTTCATTGCCCTGAAATAAGCCCTAAAAATCAAAATATATCATATTAAAATGTATCAAATATAAAAATATATGAAGAGTTACTAAGACATACTCTTTCAGATGAAAAAAATGATGAATTATACTGTTGCGATCATGTGTTCTAAGTATATCCCGCAAATCCTTAAACGTAAACACCGATGGCGTTTTATATATCCTGCAAAAATTTCACAACACGAAAATCGGTTTGAACAATTCAAGCTCCCAACAATTAAATTACATGAGACGACCAACAAACATACTCTCGAAACTGTTTCACCTCTCTTTTCTTCTCTGATAACTTCTTTTTCAGAACTTCATACTCTTGAAGCACCTTATTCAAATTTCTTATCCTATTCTTTGTGTGACAAATAATCGAATTTTTACACCTGATTTTGTTTTCCACCAGTCGCACTTGCAGCCTGAGATCAGCGTTCTGCTTCTTCAAAACCGCATTTTTTGAAGTGTAATGCCTGATGTTCCTTTCGTTCAGTAGATCTTGAAGTTTCAGGCCATTAATCCTCTCTTGCAAATTGTCCTCGTTATTCGAAACCGTGAAGTAGGCCTTATAGATTCTATTTTTTGTCGTTCTGGCACAACATTGTGGACAGATCTCCGACCTGTGGGACAAATACATGTAAAATAGTAGTGACGTCCGATCGATTTGTCGTCTACATTCAAAACAGAGTTCATTTAAAATTAATAAAAAAAGAAATATACGTCTCATATCTCCGAGAAGACGGACAACGAAAGATGCAGAAAACATAATCAAAACACGAACGATTCTGGCGATATGCCGTATGCGTCGTTTCCAACACGTGGAAACATAACCAATAGACCATGTTTACCTTTCGAACCACTGGAATAGACAGCGATGATGAAACACATGTCCGCAATGAGTGAAAAAAATGTCTTCGGTTGGTGCCAGTAGATCGTGACATATTGTACAGAAGATTTTCATTCTAAAATGGGCAACGAAACGAAAGCAAAAGCGAAAGCACAAACGACAGGTCGACAGCGATCCGACGCATGGACATGGACATAGGAAATAGGAATATAATACAGGGCCTGTTCACTCCCATGTATTTTTGGGGGACAGCGTTTTGGCGCCCTCACAGACTGACACTCGGCAAAATGGAACTAAGTATCCAAATCTGTCGGTAACATAGTCCTATATACATATACATATATATATATCGTTTTATTATATTTATTATATATATATGTATATATACATATATAGTTTTTATATATATATATATATATATATTTACTTATTTTTGCTTATTTTTGCTTTTTTATATATATTTACTTATTTTTGCTTTTTTTGATAACAAAATATATAATTCTGCATGTATAAATAATTAATTTCACATGCAAAAATTAACAAAGAATTAATCTGGTTCTTAATTTTTTACTGTTTTAAGAAAATCTTATTTAATAGAAATATATATTGTTATATATTTATAATGTATAGGATTTGAGAGATCTCTTATTTTTTCTTTTCAAAATGTATTTGTAGATAGCACATTTGTATACAACAAAATAAAAAATTTGTGTTGGTACCAAAACTAAATTCCATTACAGCAGATTCCAGGATTAAATTAATTACCTGGATGTAAGTATCTACTTTTACCACAATTAAAAATTTTTCAATGAATTTTTTTCGGCTACTAGATTCGATAACATAGTTTTGATTAAAAAGTAGCTTTTCCAGTTCATTAACTCGATGTTGTAAGGCGTAGAGATAAATTTTATCTTTCGTAATGTGCAGAACGTACTTCAAAGTCTCTAAAAATCAAAATAATATAATGGAAATGAAAAGTTCAATTAAGATCATTAGATATAACTGTAAACATTGAAAAAACATACACTAGTTTTTAGACTGCTCTTTTTCTAGGGAACCGTGGTGCCTTGAAAGCTGACTTTGGCTAATTGTCTTCATTTTCTTAGACATTATCCTAAAATAAGTGATAAGTGAGTTGTCAAAATCGAAAAAATATATCATTAAAATATTAAAATATATCAAATATATAAACACATACAGAATTACTAAGACATACTTTTTCATAATAAAAATATATTTAATTAAAGTGTTGCGATCAGTCGTTTCCCTAAATATATCCTGCACATCCTTAAATGTACTTGCTGACAGCGCTTTATATACACTGCAAAAAGTTCACACAACAAAGATCAGTTCAAGTAATTCAAGCTACCAACAATTAAATTATATGAGACGACCAACAAACGTACTCTCGAAACTGCTTCACCTCTCTTTCCTTCGCTGATAACTCCTTTTTCTGAACTATATATTTTTGATGCTCATTTCTGAAATAGCTATCCTCTTCCAGTAAGGCATAAATAGTCGAATTTTTCTGCCTGATTTCGCTTTCCATTTTTTGCACTTTCAGCCTGAGACTAGCATTCTGCTGCTCCAAAACCGCATTTTTCGAAATGTAATACTTGATCATACTTTCGTTCAGTAGAACTTGACATTTCTTGAAATTGTTCTCATTCTTGATATTCGAAACCGGCAAGTTGGCCTTATGGATTCTATCTATTGTCGTTCTGGCACGACATTGTGGACAAGTCTCTGACCTGTGGGACAAATACATGTAAAATAGTAGTGACGTCCGATCGATTTGTCGTCTACATTCAAAACCGAGTTTATTTAAAATTAATAAAAAGAGATATACGTCTCATATCTCCAAGAAGACGGACAGCGAAAGATGCAGAAAACATAATCAAAACACGAACGATTCTGGCGATATGCCGTATGCGTCGTCCAACACGTGGAAACATAACCAATACACCATGTTTACCTTTCGAACCACTGGAACAGGCAGCGATGATGAAACACATGTCCGCAATGAGTGAAAAAAATGTCTTCGGTTGGTGCCAGTAGATCGTGACAGATAGTACAGAAGATTTTCATTCTAAAACGGGCAACGAAAGCGAAAGCAAAAGCGAAAGCACAAACGACAGCGATCCGCTCGTCCGACGCATGGACATGGACATAGGAAATAGGAATATAATATAAGCCCCGTCGGCCGTCACGCCGTGTGTGCACCGTGCGGCGGCCGGCGTATGCACGGTGTGCACTATGCAGACATGCAGTGTGCAGATTGCAGACATGCAGTATGCTCGCGCATGATCGTGGAACAGCCCGAACAGCTGATGGATTCTTGCTTGCTCTCGAACGACTCGAACTTTCTCGCAGCCTCGGGGCCCTCGGGTCACTTTGGAGCTTGTTGCTGCATTGTACATACTTACATGCAATGATTGCGATCCGTCATAATCAGCAAACAAATCTGATTTCTCGAAATTAAAGCATGAAAATATCCCTCGATAGGAAATTCGATTGGTGTTGAAATACTTTGAAGGCTTCGAAAATCAGTGCACTGCAGCAAGATTACTTGTGGAACAATAGACTGCATTTGCGAAGGTTAACATGTTTTAGCAGCTAATAAAAACAAAAAAATTATAATACGTGGGCTCTTTCTTTTTTATCAAATTTAAAATTCAGAGGTTGTTTGCAATGCATAAGTCGCAGTTCGTCGGTCTAGACGACAAGCCATGCGATGATGCGATACGAAATGCCTTTTGTGCGATTGCACGTTTGTCCTTCCAAACGAACAAGATAATTTTTTCACGCACTTGTTTAAAGTGCATCGTCTCATTATAGCTGATTCTTGGAAAATAGCTAGCTTAAGAAGGTAGAATAATCAATTCTTATTCTGTTGCTTGCCATTTGTATATATTCTTTGCAATCAGATCTAATAATCCTGACAGACAATTTCAGTTGTGTACACTACTGGAGCATAAAATTTAAAGAGGCACCATTAACTATATACTTACTGCAGTACAATGTTAATGGATTGCACACCTGATGGACGTCAAGTAAAAATGAACATTATATTCCATGCTTTCTGACTGTCTGTCAGAGGACAAGACTTTGAGAGAGGAGATACATCCGACCAAACTGGTATGTGCATCAATGAAAAGTCAATAAATTAAAGTTGTTAAATTAAATAATATATAATGATTTTTTGAACCAATTTTGAACCAAATTATGTAGTACAATGTAATTTGTAATTATTATTTTAAGGAATGGACATTGGCACAACAGGCAGCTGAGTGTGCAGATACCAGCTTTAAGCGCAGCTGTTTTATTCTACTAAAATCTGTGGATCATATGCCTTGTATGTAAAACACCTTTATTAGAAGCACAATCTTGACAAGCCAGAAAATTTGGTGTTCATTGACGAGCTTGTGGACAAAATCCAAAACAAAATTGAAAGTATTGCGTATTAAAAAATTAGAATATGAATCTGCAGGTACTCCAGTAGCATAATGCTGTATACACTTGTGTGTATTAAGAATATAAATACATTTCATTTTCTTTTTAGTTTAATATGCATTTATTGTGAAGGATCGTATTAAGTATGGTATTAAAGGAGCATATGCAAAAAATTCCACGAATGCATAAATCTTCATAATAAAGCATACGATAAATTTTATTTAAACAATTATCTGGAGCCAGAAAGGATTTGGAAATGAAAACAGGTAATGCGCAGTTTGAGATGAGAAATATTAATACTTCAAAAATATATTTTTTTATTTCTACAGGCTAATTCAGAAATAAATCCCGAAGTAGCAGGTGGCAATAGCAACAATGAGGACGAAGACAGTTCATGATTCGATTGGAATGACAAATCTATCGGGATAACATGCCTATTTTGTAATTATAGCAACAATGAATTTACCTGTATCAGAGAGAAGGATTTCATATCTCTTACTTAATTTCCTTTTCAAAATGTATTTGTGGACATTTATATATAATAAAATAAAAAATTTGTATTGATACCAAAATTAAATTCCATTACAAGGGTTATTTCCTTGGACTATTTCCAGGATTAAATTACCTGGATGTAAGTCTGCTTTTACATAATTAAAAATTTTTCAATGAATTTTTTTTTGGTACTAGATTCAGTAACATAGTTTTGATTTAGGGTAAAAAGTAGCTTTTTCAGTTTATTAACTCGATGTTGTAAGGCACAGAGATAAATTTTGTCTTTCGTAATGTGCGGTACGTACCTCAAAGTCTCTAAAAATCAAAATATTATAATGGAAATGAAAAGTTCAATTAAAATCATTAGACATAACTGTAAACGTTGAAAAAACGTACACTAGTTTTTAGATCGCTCTTTTTCTAGGGAACCACGTTGCCTTAAAAGCTGACCTTGTGGATAATTGATTGTTTTCGTTTTCTTAAATATTATGCTGAAATAAGTGATAAGTGAGTTATCAAAATCAAAATATATAATATTAAAATATATCAAATATAAAAATATATGAAGAGTTACTGAGACATACTTTTTCATAATGAAAATATATTTAATTAAAGCACTGCGATCAGTCGTTCCCCTAAATATATCCTGCACATCCTTAAGTGTCCTATTTGCCGACATCGCTTTCAATATGCTGCAAAAAGTTCACACAACAAAGATCAGTTCAAGCAATTCAAGCCAACAATTAAATTATGTGAAACGACCAACAAACGTACTCTCGCTTCGTCACCTCTCTTTCCTTCTCTGATAACTTCTTTTTCGGAACTATATACTTTTGATGCTTCTTCTCGAAATATCTTTCCTCTTCCTTTAAGGCATAAATAGTCGAATTTTTCTGCCTGATTTCGCTTTTCATCTTTTGCACTTCCAGCCTGAGACCAGCATTCTGCTGCTCCAAAAGCGCATTTTTCGAAATGTAATGCTTGATCTTCCTTTCGTTCAGAACATCAAATTTCTTGAAATTGTTCTCATCCTCGATATTCGAAACCATGAAGTAGGCCTTATGGATTCTATCTTTTGTCGCTCTGGTACGACATTGTGGACAAGACTCCAACCTGTGGGACAAATATGTGTAAAATAGTAATTGACATCCGATTGACTTGTCGTCTATTTCAAAACGAAATGGGAAATCTTACAACGGAACAACGGACTTGTTTTATCTGCATTCTTCTGTAGTCGCATTAATCGACTTTAATCAACTAAAAATCGATTAAAATTAATAAAGAGATATAGGGTAACTGTCCCTATTAATGTGCCCTGAACCTATTAGTGTGCTTTTATATTGAAATAAGTCATAAAAGTAAACTGGTACAAATATATAGACAAAGTATTTTTTTTATTAAGTTAAAGTATTAACTTTATAGAAAAAAAATACTTTGTCTATTTATTTGTAACAGTTTATTTTTATGACTTATTTATATATAAAAGCACACTAATAGGTACAGGGCACACTAATAGGGACAGTTACCCTACGTTTTATATCTCTATCGAGAAGATAGACGACAGAAGATGCAGAAAACATAATTAAAACACCAATGGTTCTGGCGATATACGTGTCTATCTCGTGGAAATATGACCAATAGACCATGTTTACCTTTCGAACCACTGGGACAGGCAGCGGTGATGAAACACATGTCCGCAATGAGTGAAAAAAATGTCTTCGGTTGGTGCCAGTAGATCGTTACAGATAATACAGAAAATTTTCATTCTAAAACGAAAGCGAAAGCAAAAGCGAAAGCACAAACGACAGCAATCCGCTCGTCCCATGGACATAGGAATATAAGGGGACAAAGCATATGCTTCCTCCCCTTATATTACTACCCATGGATCGTCCGACGTCCCGTGTCCGTGCCATGGTGGAACTTGGAAGGGATAGCATTGGCAAATGGCAAGCGTTTCTTTCTAAAAACAGAGAGGATCTCTGCTGGTAGTACTCAAGCCAGGTGACTCGGTCGTGATCGACAATCATGGAACGACCGGCGGCAAACGTATCGAGACCGAAATTATTAAAGCACGGTCACTGTCGACGTTCGAGGTCAGAGCTGAGATAGGAACAACAATGAAACGGCACACCGATCAAATTGTAAAGCCGGTACGTCGCTCCGAGAGAATTCCGAATCGGAAGATGTAATGCCGAGCTCCATTTGAAACAGGGAGGAATTGTGAGTACGTGTGTCTGGCGATGTAGCATGATCGCTCACCTGGTTGGCGTCGTGTGGCATCGCACGTGCCTCGGCGCGATTCCTGATCTGAGCCGGCGCGATCGCGCGACGTGGTTCACTCTCGTTGCGCCCCGTATATCAAGCGCACATGTTTTTCCGTACTCATGTATTTGGTATTCAATAAACGATACTCGGGATCATGATCACGGTCGTGTAGTTAATTGTTCACCCACGTGCTCAGTTACGCGTACGCAGGAACGAATATATAGCAGTATTTTTATAATTTTTTTTTAGAAATATATATATATCAAAGATTAATTAAATAAATTTACGAATTTTTATAGACTTAAAGGAGACATGGACTTTGAGGACAGTGTTATAGCAAAAAATAAAAAAGCGGGAAAAAACTGAAACAAATTTAAAAAATTGATTATTGAAATTCATCATTTGTTAAAATGGTATGTATATTTAATTTTATAATATATAACTATCTTATAACTTTCTTATTAATCTTATAATATCTTATATTTTTACAGTCGTCAAGACATAGCAAGAAATGAATAATGTTTTAAGACCAGGACTTCATTTGATAGCTTATGCTTATAATACATTGGAAACATTTAAACAAAATTTAGATCACATTAGGATGTAAGTATATAAAATTAATACGCTAAAGTTTAGTTATAACTAAATAATAACTAAATATAATAACTATACATAACACTTTCGTAGACCATCATTATCACCGCAAAGGACAAATTCCTCTTTAAGTACAAGATCAGAGAACTCGCAGGAAATGAATGAATTAAGCGGTACATTATTGGAATATAATGTAACAAACCCTGATGTTAATGATCCTATTCAGTAAGTTTGTTTCTATAATGAAAATAGGCAAATTTCAAGAAAGAGCAACTTTGTTACAAATTATCGACGAATTTTTAGTTATAACTGAATAATAACTAAATAATAACTATACATAACATTTTCGTAGACCACCAAGAATTTCAACACCGCAAAGGACAAATTTATCCATAGGATCTGCAAGATCTGCAGAAAATTCACAAGACATAAGTGATAACATAACGAATCCAAATAACGATAACCCAATCGAGTAAGTTTGTTTCTACAAATTAAGTAAATTAAAAATTAAAATTACAAATTAAAAATAGGCAAATTTCAGAAAAGAGCAACTGTTAAAAATTATCGACGAAGTTGCTCTATCTTAAAATTTGCCTATTTTTAAAGGAAAGGTGATCCTTTAATTTTTTATGTGTGTATTTTCTAATACACTTCTTAAATATTTCTACTTAGACAGCCTCGGCGAACTGACGAAGAAGATGACGCTAGTTCGGATTTTGACGTTAATATTGAAGAAATACGTCAGACACTACAAATTGCTAATAATAATATTAGCAATACGTGTCAAATACATTACAATACATTACAAAAAGTTAACACAAGTTTAAATGAAATGGAAGGAAAATTTGTAAAAAGAAAAAAGTAAGTGATACTTGTTAAATTATACGTAATACAGATGTATAATTATAATTATTAATGTATAATATATTAATAATTTAAATTAAATTAAGCAGCAATGGCAGAATTGAAGTAATTGAAGAAGTCTCTACACAGAATCCTGCCGATCTTGGACCTTCCACGTCCAATTCAAAAAATAACAAAAATCAATCTTATACATATATAGCAAAAATATACCAATAAACCTTTGTTAAGTTGTCAACTGAGGTGGAAGCGCAACAGACAAAATCTGACAATGTATTAAAGCCGAAAAAAAATAAATCTTATACATATAGCAAAAATGCTCAACAACAAATCGCAATTAAAACAGAAAGTTGCGCAACTCACATTGAGAGATAAAATGATAACGCATTTAAGATTAGGCGCAGTTACGCGTCTAGATTCATATTTATAAATGAGGTACTCTACAACAATGACAATTCGCAGTCTAAGCAATACTTTAACAAAAATCCTGATGCTTTTATGATTTATCACGCGGGATATAAACAGCAAATTGAGCAATGGACAATAAATCCACTGTTGTAATATCGTCAATTAATAAACTGTACAGTACGTATGCCTTGTTCTTATTCTTTTTTGGTGTCGCCGTCGCTTGCACGTCATCCTTCCACGCCGCTCGTACTCCCAACAGGACGGCAGGAAGCACCTCAGTCCATCGCTCGTTCCTCTGGCATTTGATTGCGGCCGTGAGCTGACGGTGGAACCGCTCCATGCCATTGGCTTGAAGATGATACGCCGTTGTTTTTAAGTGGGTCGTCCCGGTCAAATCGTTCAACTGTTTGAACAACAGGTGGGACTCGAATTGCCGCCCGCGATCCATCATGACCCTGGTAAGGTCACCCCGAATCGCGCGATCCAACCCTCGTAAAAAGCCCTGGCGACTGTTTCTGCCTCCTGGTCTCCGAGCGGTAATGCCTCTGGCCACCATGAAAAACGATCGACACACGTTAAACAATATCGCATGCCCTCTGAGACTGGCATTACGATTATGTCAATGTGCATGTGCTCGAATCTTCTTGAGGGTGCGGCGAATGCTCCTATCGAAGCTGCGACGTGCCGTGTAATCTTTGCCCGCTGGCACGGCACGCACATGCGGGTCTAGTCGCGGCAGTCCGCTCTCATCGACGGCTAGACATAGCGTTGAGCCGCGAGCTTGACCGTCGACTTTATTCCCGGGCGCGCCAAGTTGTGAACAATGTCGAAAGCGACCCGCCGAAAGGGCCTTGTTAAAAAAGATCGTGGCGTCGCTGTTGCTGTGTCACAATATACAGTGACTCCTGTTCCTGGAATCTCTGTCTTCTCCAACCGCAGACTGAATTCCGGTCTCATATATGCCTTGATCTCCTCGTTGTTTTGCTGTGATCCAGCTCTGCGTCCGCCCTCGGATGCGCCAGGAGAGCGGCCTGAGCCAGCCTCTCTCTCGACGACTCGAACGCCTGTTCGGCCTGTGGTGTCCACGCTACTGATGTTTTCCCCTTGGCGTTATGGAGAAGGTCATTCAACGGGGCTAGAATTTCCGCAGCCCCCGGCACGAACCTCCGATAAAAGTTTAACATGCCGTGGTATCGACGAAGCTCCCTTGCTGTGTTCGGTTTCCGGAACTCGCGAATTGCCCGCGCGCGGGAAACGGCCGGGTCCCCTCTCCGGTCACGAGGTACCCAAGAAACTCGATCTTCGACCGACCGAACGCGCACTTTGCCGAATTAAGGACCACTCCGTATTCTCGTAATCGATCGAATATAAGACTCGCAGATGGCCTCAACAATTGTATCGGCGATATCCGCGATTTGATCGACTGTGTCCTCCGTTCGCGTCACTAAATGCGGCTGAATGTACGCGGGCAGCCGAGACAACCATACCCGTGCGCAACACCTTGTCCCCGACAACGCTCCCGGCGAGACTGCGGAGGTGTCGCAAAAATTGAGACGGTTTTCGGTCTCCGATCTCCTTGTGCTCCAGGAGCCTCCGCGTCTTATGCTCCTGGGAGAGGCTAAGGCGTTTAAATCAATTTCGTCTTGAGCGTCTCGTACGCGCGCTCCGCGGGCGGATTCATATTAATATCGCGCACTTCCGTGGTGTAACGCGGCCCGATCGCGGTTAGCGCATACCCGAATTTTGTGGAATCGACCACAATGCCGGCAACCTGGAAACGGTCAACGATATTAAACCGGAGTTCCGGATCGGCGGGAGTAAACTCCGGCATACGCAGGCCAACACGGCTTACCTCGGCTCCAAGCGCGAAAAGTCCTACCGGCTGGTCCAGATCCGCTCCCACCGGCTGTTGCACCACCACGGGCCGCTGTTCAAATTGTCTCTCCTGCTCCGCTTGCGCCCGTTGCTGTCCGGATGCAGGGATGTCGTCGTAGAGGCTCGGCATATCTTTCTATTTTGCTTCACTACACGCTCATGGCCACTTGAATCGAATTTCCTGCTCCGCGCGCTTCCACCGAACACTTCCAATTCGTCGTTAAAACGAAAGAATTGGTCAAAGTTTTTGTAAAAAAAAACAAGAAATCGCGTCGCGATCACGTCGTCGGGTCACCACTTTAGTGCTCGCCTTTGCACGGCGAGGAATTAATCCGTATCGCTTTCCGAAAATCGAGGAGCACGAAGTACTGCGCGAGCGGACACGTCTCTCGGAGGCAAAATACGAAAAATTAACGCGACGCGCCTCTCGCTCCTGCTTTTTATCGACACATGCCCCTCTAGAAGGCTCCCCCCTATCCTTTTGTCAAACAACGAGCAAGATTACCTTATAAGGTAATCATTGTCGGAGCCTTGTAGAAGGGCATGATTTGTCATCGCTCGCTTTTGAGAAAAACATGTTTTGCTCGAGCACGCCGTTTCGCGCTGCTCGAGGGGAAGCAGCACGTGATTGGGCGCTGGCGACGGCGGCGGGCGCTGAGCGCGACCGTTGCCGCCGCGCTCGGGTTAATAGGTGAGACGGATTGCCGTTCGCATTTATGGATAGAATTAAGCCAGCAAACATTAGTTTGGAGCAAATATTCATCCATATATTCTTAAATTAACACCAACAAAATGTCATAGATCGAGATTGTCGTATATGACCGCAAAAGCAATTCCTTTTTTATTTTTTAAAAATAAGAATATAATCGAATTTAATTAAATAAATATAAGAACGGTACTTTAGGAGTTAATAATACATAATAATTTTGTAAAATAAAAAAGGATTTTTTAAATTGTTGTATATATAAAATAATAAAAATGGATCTAATTTAACAATAATGCATGTTATATAAAATGAAATGTAATCTTGCAGATTTAAATTTTTAATAAATTTTTTTAAGGTTAATCTATACAATTTCTAAACAAAGAATAAAATATTCTAAATTATAAAGAATACGGCACATGCATTTATTGTATTAATTAGAGACTATATAGGATTTATCCGATAAAATTTAATTTAATTTATCAAAATTTTATCTATAAAAAAAATTATATAATATTCGTCTTAAATCTAAATTATTGGATCAATTTGTGACAACATTATTAGATTATTATTTTAAAATAATTAATATTTAATATTTTATATATAGTGAAATACTTGGTTACATTGATAGTGTAGAATCTACACACGATACGTAGGAAATAAGCAACAATTTAAATTCTTCAAATTTTATTTAAATAATGGAAATGGTAGACATATCCAAATTATAGCATGAAATCAGGAAATTGAAAGACTATATACGCTTTCCCATAGCGCAATTTGGGGAAGTCGATTTCGTCGACTTTGAATACCTGGTGCAACTCGACATATTGAATTCGCGAAATTAAAATTTATTTAAAAAATAAAGAAATCAAATCCTTGATTCTTAAAAAAACTTAAAAGAAGTAAATATGTTCAATTTTGAAAAAAAAATTAAAAAAAAAACGTTTTGTTCGGCCATTTTGAATCGGTCATTTTACAATAAAATCACGATTTTATAAAAAAAAGTCACAAAATTCATTTTTAAGATGAGCCCAGAAAGAAGTCTATATCTTTATTTTTCTGGAAGATATGAATTTTTAGACATTGGAGAAAAGGGGCTTCAACGCAGGTAATACGGCAATTTTAAGATAGGATAAAAAAAGCCACAAAATTCATCTTTAAGATGAGCCCAGAAAGAAGTCTATATCTTTATTTTTTTGGAAGATATGAATTTTTAAACATTGGAGAAAAGCGACTTCAACGCAGGTAATACGGCAATTTTAAGATAGGAAAAGGCACAAAGAGGCTGACTGTATTAATATTATAAAAATATTTTGCGGAATAAATCTATTTAATTATTTAACATTACATGTACATCTTTTCTATTTATAATTAAATATAATCACAAATAAAATCGTATATGCGCTTTTTCAAGGAAAAAAAACAATATCGGACTTACGTCTACAAAATATGCTTATATCTCTAAAAAAAATGCTAAGGACAACAATGTTATCTCATTAGCTAGCACCATTCGTTAATAAAAATCAAAACTTCAAATGTGTTTTCTTAAATTGTTAAGGAAATACATTAAATTGAAAATATAAATAAATCAAACATATAAATAGATAAAAGTATTTTATTAGAGAACAATAAAAAATGGTGTTTTATATTACTTTCGTTCGACTATTTTTTCGTATTTAGTTACAATAACAAGATCCTGTTAGATTCTACATTGCTTGCATTGCCTTGCTGTGACTACCAAAATACTAATTTTTACTAAAAAATACTTCACATGCTTTAGGCTTTTATTGCGTTAATTACTTTTGCATTGAGAAGTGCTATATATTTAACTACTTACAATTTCAAATTATATCGATATATCTTCATATTCCGAACGAGAAATGTTTAGGCGAAATTAGAACATGCGGTAGGATCAACCTCTTTCTTGTACTTATTTTCGTGATTTCTTTTTTCGAACATTGTTATACAACTATATTTTTGGTTCGCACGGATCTCAATTAAAACGATAGAAAAATAGATATACATCTCCAATTCTAAACATCGATCTTACTTATATAATTAATTAATAATTAACGCATCAATTACAGTTGATATATTCAAACAATCTTAATTTAATATTTTAAATCTAAAAGACGAATATATTCCCTCTCTCTCTCTCTCCCTCCGTAATATTTGCTGAAAGATCAAAATGCATACAACAGCATTGTTGACATACTGCAAATACATTATTACAAGATTTGCGTATCTCTCTCTAAACATTGAATCCATCAAACGTATTCAATGAAACCAAGAGGCACATTATTAAAATTATGAAAAAATCTTGGGTTAACTCCTTTGGCATGCCCATAGATCACTTGAATCAAATCACTGCTTTAAACGATCACAAGATATATATATGTATATAATTGACAAAATCCGGCATACTTTTTTTACATAATTTATCTGATATTCAGTCAAGCAAGTATCATACGCGAATGACATTACGTGTAAAAGATAAGCTCGGGTATTTGACCTTCTTCAGTAGATGTACCATTATTATCTCCCAATTCATTACTAAATTTGAATTTCACTTTTCCGTTTCCTGAATCACAATCCACCAGCATTGTTTTCATTCCTTTTGTGCCATAGTATGAATATGGCCCCTGAAAAATAAATAAGTAATTAATTTTTACAGATCCCACACTATATATATATATATATATATATATATATACATATATATATATATATATATATACGCATAAGAGACAATAATTAAATAATAAATCAATAGAATATAACATAACAACCTTGAAAGTTGCTGATGCTGTATAAATTGTATTTGGTAAGATTTCCGCTAATTCTTTAAACATTAGACGGTATGTGTACTTTGATCCATCACAGCTAAAACTTGTTGCATTTGTAGCTATCACTTTTCCTGACGCAGTGTGAATTAATTCGACTGTTACTTCATATATCGCTGGTTCTTGCGTGCTACCGTAAACTCCGTAACCAAGCAGAAAGATACGTCTATCCACACTAAATCTGCAAAAATTAAAATACTTCATGACATCAGGCATCTCGAATTTCCATCGTTAGTCATACGCGCACAATATTGATTATATTTTACCGAATACGATCACTAGTTCCAAAATATCCCCATCTACTCTTTGTATGTTGAAATCTGCACACAGTCTGTTCCTTGCCAGTCATACAGCACCGCGGCATCGTTTGAAACCCCACCGAAGGTTTGGGATTCAGTATAAAATATGAGAATAAAGATAAAACCTGTAAAAATTTAATTGTAAATTTTCAGAGTGTAAACTTTTTAGCTTAAATGTAACATTAGCATAACATAAGACATGTATCTCGAAAGAACATTGTAATACTAACCTCTGAATAATTTAACACTCCAGATTGCGCTGGACCCGCCGTAAATTCTTCTTTTGACATAAGAGGAAAGCGTACCAAGGACAAAGCATCGCCCAAAACTAGACGTTGATTTTCTGGAGTGACTGGTAATTGCTGCCTTACACATTCAGCTTCTGACCACCTATCAAAAAAAAAAAAAAAAAAGTAAATATTATGCGAAATGAGCGATACATTTTCCATAGCGTCGCAACGTACCTTAGAACAGCTTGAAATAATTTAGATTCCCTAACACGAAGAGTATCTCTCTCCAAGACTATCATCAGTGTATCAATATCGATATCTGTGAATCCATCTGCATTGAAGGCCTCAGTTGTGAATCTGTCTATGGTGTCCAAACATACCGAGGCTAACTGCGGTTCGTCAAATAGACGGGCTTGCGTTAACAGTAGAAAAGCGTTGTCGCTCGTTAAATTATTTTTCAAAAAATCAACGCAATGCTTTTCTAAAGCGGCCACCGCGTATTTCTTAGCAGTATACAGCGTCGTCATCACAGTTTCAGGATCTATCTGTATCTCATCAGTGTATAGAAAAAGGAGCACTGCCAAAAATGCAGCAGGCTCTACATCAGGTACTTCTATTTCCGAAGAAGCTGTCGCAAGCGTTCCGTTAAACATTGCGTCAAATACAGCACTCCCAGAGGACAGGACTAGTTTGTGAGCCGGTATGCGTTGCTGCTGCGCCCCTCTTCCCACCAGAAAGGTCACGTCCGACAGTATTTCATTGTTAAAGAGGAATACAATCCTTTCGCGCATCGTTGCCTTTGTACCTTGCCAGTTGTACATGACTGCAGGTTGATTCTGCGTTATGGTAGAGTTCTCCAAAGTAGCGTTATTCTGCGTTCGTCCATCCAAATACGATGTATTCGCTGCATTAGTAGGTGGTCGGCTGAAAGTACCAAAAAAAAAAAAGTACAACTACCTATATATCAGATAACAAATATCGACAGTCTCTACTTCAAGTTAATATTCTGAGTAATTTAGATAAACAATGCTAGTTTCATACGCGTTATCTCACTCCACGCAAAACGCTTTGGCATTCGGCGCGGAAAATTGCTTACTTATCGCTGTTCGAGAACGAGGCCTCGCTGCGCGCGACGGACGAGGAGCTGAGCGGCTGATCCTCGTCGCCGACGAAATTCAGCCCATGCCGTGCCCGGGAGAGGGTGATGTTCCGGAGCGGCTCCCGCAACGACGACGACGACGACGGCCCGCTGCCGCCACCGCCGCCACCGCCGTCGGCCGAGCTGCCACTGGCCGCTGTCAAGCCGCCAGCCGTTGAACCGCCAGCCGTCGCGTTCTCGATCTCGTCCTCGGCGTGCGTCGCCAGCCGCATGCCTTGCAGCCTCGACGCGACGTTCGACACGTCGTTCAGGGCGGTCTCCGTAGACATGTTCGTGCACCAGACGTAGTACTTGTCCAAGTACTGCCCCGTCTCATTTAATCGCGTCGCCTCGCGCCAACGCGAACGGCGGCGAGCGCTTTGACGGGCGCGGTTTCACCTTATCCCCCTAACCGTGATCCTCTCCGGGAGTCTTTGAGCCGCGCCGGGTTCTCACCGAGATACGTGAATACGCCGAGCCGAGATGTATGTATGTATGCACACAACGACGCGCTACTGCACGCTACAGCGACATCCTGCCGCGCTCCCCAGCCCACCCCCGTTCCTCCAGCCGTTCGCTCCGCGCAGAGCAGAGAGGCGCACCGCGCACGTGATACGAGCGAGAGTAAAGTCACTAAATTTATAATCTAGGAACTTTAGAGCGAGGGAAATGGACAAATCCGCGTGTCGGCGTGAATAACACCAATGGGATATCTCGCTTTAATAATCAGCTGTTTAATCCATTAAACCTCTTATAATGCATTTTTTGTATCATCTTTACTATTTATTGCAATATTTCGTATCTAAGATTTGTAATATTAAATTTCCGCTTGCTCGAATTGCGCCTTTTGCACTTGATCTGCACACACCGTGCGCGCGCGAAAGTTGCAACTGGTTGCACACTGCACATTACTGCGAATGCGAAAGCCAATCAGCGCTCCGCCCTTGCGAGTGCAAACTTGGAGAATCGCAATATCAATAGAGGAAAGAAAGTTGGCAATGGTAGTAAATAGTAATGGAGAGCATCGCGGCGGGTCGCGGAATCGTATTCGAGTTTTTCTGTATTTCTTGTGATCGTTACTGTCCAAAAGTGACTCTCGCGCGACGAATCGTCAGAAGGGTCTCGGTAAAGTGCCGCTCGTGATGTGAATGCTGTAGTACAATCGTTATCACTCGCGGCTGTCGCGAATTCCGACATGTCGAGTGCTTCAATTTGTATGTCCGAGATCTACCGAGATGTCCCTTCAGTGGATTTTGATACTTCTGGATCATCGGATTAACTCAATTAGAAAGCACCTTACAGCACCGAAGTTTTAGACGCGCGCCTAATGAAAGACCTGCCATTAGTACTGTGTTTTCATCAATAACGCGAATATACGACGGATTCGTCAAGTAAACTCCATACGAGTGTAGCGTCATTATCCGTCACGGGATGACGCTCACGAACGATGTCATGATTTTGTTAATTCCGTACGACAGTTTTGTACAATTAGACCTCCGTGCAACCGTACTGGTATTACTCGTATTACGTAACAATAGTAATATAACAATTGTACAATAACTGCTTTGTAGATTTAGAAACGCGTATTACTGTAGCTAATATAATTGATATGTAATTAAAAAATATTTGCATTATTTTATATTATCAAATTTATAAGATTATGCATGCATATTAATTAGAATATGGAATAAAATAATAGTTCTTTTAATTAAAAAACATAGAATCGGTGATTGCTACGTACAACTATAAGAATCGAATGTGATTGCTACGTACAACTATAAGAATCTTATTATATCAGAATTACTTCAAGTTGTTAAGTATATCGCGAAAAAAAAAAAAGAGATTTACCAAGAGTTCTGCGAAAAGTATCAGAATGGCAGAGTCGGGTAGTTGAAACTTTATACTTGATTAGAAATCTCTTTAATAGTAAAGTCCTTTGGCGCGCGTCTATTATGCTAAAAAATCTGTGATCACAGCTGTTCCTCGTTGACATGGCATTGAGAAAACATCTCATCTTCAGGTGTGTATCCAACAAAAAATTTATTTAAAAGTTATGTCTGTATGTTTCGTTTTTACTTGAAGGGAATTCTATATATTCTAGGAAAAAATTAATAGAATTATTGAATCAGATTTTATAACAAGTGTATTAATGACGTTTATGTACAATGTTTACACGGCGATACAGAAAACATGTCCGCATGTTTACGGTGTTATGTATGATACAACAAATATTATCTGGAAGTCATTTCAAACTATTAATACGGCAGTTATAGTGAAGAAGTATATGTCAAAAGTAATTAAAAAAAGCATGTTAATATTATGAAACATACATAGACATTGTGACATAAAACAGCAAATTCCTTATTTCCCGCGGAAATATGTACAGCTGTGCATTAAAGATTTCTCAGAATTAACGCGCTAATATAGAGTTATTTTGCGAGTACATATATAAATTAAAAATATAACTCTACAAATCTGCATCGCACATCACAAAGTAATGCAAAGATTGAAATCAATCTTTGCATCAATGTGCAAGAAATTAAGAGAGAAGAGAGGAGAAATATTTTTTAGCCATTAATATAACATAGTTTTCATTTATACGCATTGTATTGACGTGAAAAAATGAAAATTCGCGCAGTGAAAAAGACTTAATCTAACGGTTTTACATATTTTTCCGCATTTCTTATGATAATCAGATTTATTAATAATTGTCATGGCTGTTGGCACGTTTTATTCTGTAAGTCAATGTTTCCTAAGCCAAAAATTAGTTTAAATAAAATTAACTTGACACCAGTTTTATTTAAATAAATTTTAGTAATGATTCGCATTCTCGTTATTGAAAGGACAACGTGCCTCGCAGATCTAGATATAGATGCAATGAGTTAGATTGTAATTAATCGAAATATCATATACCTTATTAGAATTCTCACAAGCTACCGGGTACATACAAATTTATAATATACACGTAAAAGTACAGAATGAAAACTGGCCGCCGGTAAGATGAAAATTAGATTTAATTAAGCTAAAGCATTAAATTAATACGCATCGAGACACATGTCTATTTTATTAAGAATCAATGAAATTATCTCAATATATATATTATTAACTTGAAATATTGTTCCCCGATATCAGTCAATTGTCATAAAAGTTCTCAATTTACTTATTCATTAGCAATCGGTTTTTTTTGCTATTGTAAGATCGTCACTCCAAACTCGGTAAAATAATTTAATGAAATTAGACAAAATCATACCTACGTTTAATTAGCAAAAATTTCTTATCGTAGTAATTGGTAATAAATAGGAAAGGATGTTTAAAATACGCTAAGACAGTTATTTGTAAAAGAAGCACCAAGAAATACAAAAGCGTATCAACGCGCCATTCACAAAATAACGTATTCTACGTCCGCGGTAATGTCTAATAAATTATTGTTACGTAATTGTCATCAGAAAAATCGATGATACGATCGTTGGTAACGTTTTCATTGCGTCCGACGATTAGTAATACTTTTCACGTCCCCACATGTCGCACGTAGGTATAGTCTCACATTCGCACGCACATTCTCCTGTCAAGTCGCAACACAATTACTGCACAATGTACTGTCATTAGGACGCGAATCGACACTTTCACGTCTCAAAGTCCGTCTCTTGGTCCCTCGGATGATGCAATTTGCTCTTCACTTTCCTCGCCTTCGTCGCCACTTTCTTCTTCTTCTTCGGCTTCGGTATGAGCTCGCAGCTGCAGCCACTTCGTACTTTGATGTAGTCCAACGACCATCCGGATCCGCTCAAGGTGCTATTACCGGATAACGTGAGAAAATTTTCTTTGGGAAGGATATGTTCCTTGCGGGGGGGATGTTCCTTGCGGAGGAGACGTTCCTTGCGGGAGGAGTGTTCCTTGTGCCTTCTGTGTTCCTCCTTTGGATGGTGTTCCTCCATCTGAGAATTAGTTACAATAATTAATATTCCTTGATAATTTTGCTTCGATTATAGACAAAATTTCAAAATTTTCCAATTAAGTTTTTCTAAATAAATTTCGTATTCGCTGAAGGTAGAATCGAAAGAATACATAATCTTTTTTTTTTTAATACTAAATAATGGAATTATGAGAGAATTTTTGAAGTTTCGCAACCGTACTTCTGATTCAGTAGTTTCGATGATGGCGTACGTGTACGAGTATTTTTGCACGCATCTGGACTGGCTGTATAACTTCCGGTCGACGAATCTGCACGGCTGGTCGACGACTTCTTCTTTGCAGGAGTACTCGAAGAACCTCTGGCGGTTCTCGCCGTGCCGATAGAGCGTGACTAATTGTTGTTTTTGATTTATACCGCCGAGTGGTTCCACCATTTCCTCTTTCGTAGGACAGCACTCGACCAGGCCGTCCTCGTTCCCTTTTTCCTCACGCAGGATCATCTGCATGTGATGCAGCCACTTGTTCGACTCCTCCTTTGCCCTGCGAATTGCGAACAGCGTTTTCTCGTGCTTAATCGATTCTTGTTTTTAATCCACACCAATTTCCTAAATAATCAAACGGATTTTCACTCGACTCATGTTCCTCCGAGAGTGCAGGCAGATGTTATTCACGGAACTTTCGGATTAAATTCTAATCGTCGATTCAATCACGCGTATACGATCATGTTAACAGGCGACTTAATGGGAAATGTATGTAAAAAAAAAAAAATAATAATAAAAGCATACGCTTCAGCTACGTCGCGCAGTGTGTTGAATTTAAATCGGATTCAACTTACCACCGAAGGAAACGCCGATATTCCTCCCATGTCAGGCGCGCTAATAGCTCGTATCTAAATTACGCGGTAGAATGTTGTAGCGGTTAAAAAAAGTTCCGCGGAACATGATATTTTACTTCGTTTCGTATATATTATTAGCATTTTATGCACACCAGCTATAATAATTAAGATAGCGAACTTCGCGCGATTGATAGAATGAATATCCAAATGTAATGTGCACCGCGTTTCAATAAATCATTCGTAAATATTGTTAAATGAGCCATGATTATCGAAAACAACGTAGTACAAATAGGTAAATGTACATTTTAATACAGGGCCTTGAATTCAAAATGTTAAAGATTCATTTTTAATTGACACTCGAATTGAATCAAGCAAACTTGATAACGACATTTTCTCACTTTATTCTTCTGTCACATCTCTTGTCCGAAAATTTTTACTCACAAGCTAGAGATATGTTCTCTGAAAGGATGTTCCCTGGGCGTTTGAGAGGAGAAAGATAAAGTCAGATTGTTGGCGGCAGTAAGCCGCGGGCACAAGACTGCGGTCAGCCAAACCACCTGCAACGAAAATCATGAGAATGCTTAAATTGTTTTTTCGCATGTCTAACATATTAATTTTTCTTCGTCGAATTTATACAAATTAAAAATATAAACGCGTTAATATCTGGGGAAACTTCGTGCTCGTCGCTACGATTAATTGCACCTAATGTAAAGAATTAAATTTTTATCTGACATCGTAAAAATCGGTGCATTTACATTTGCGTTTGATAGCGATCGAATAAATTATTTCTAGCGCAACAGGTACCGCATGTCTTAGCGCGCTACGAGCGTGCCATTTTGACGCGGCGCGATGTAAACAACTCTGTCATATCTGACAGAGACTAATGCGCGTGATTTTATAATACATGTACGTTTCGCGAATTGTCCGATTAGAATTGCATCAATAATAATATCGCGGCGAGGGATCGCGCCGCGTGAGAAAATACCGGACACAGGGTGTCGGAGATTGGTACGAACGTGCAATAAAGCACGCCGTTAGTCACGCATCGCCCGAATCCGCGGCACACGCGTGAGCGAGCGCAGTATATACGTGTGAGCTTACGTGAAGGTGAAAACATTAATTCGGCTTATAATTTTTATGCAAAACAGGCCTCACGGCGCCGCCGTTGCCGCCGCCGCCGCCGCCGCCGCTTGCTGCTTGTTAATACGAGCGTGCCTCTTTCTCGCGGTATACCACACTTTCGATTTAATTGCGCCGTATAACTCGTCACCACACAGAAAGCATGCGGAACCTGCTTGCTTGCTTCATTTATCGGAATAAACCTAAATCTCTTTTTTTTTTTTCGGAACAGAAAAATCCTCGACGTGCGATAAGATGTAATATTTATGATTGTTTATTATACCCGCGAAAAAAAATGTTATTGATAAGAAAATACGGAACGATCCAAAAAGAGATACAAATGTATCGCAAATGAATTCCGCAGATAAATTTAAGCGAAAAAAAGTCGTATTATCACAAATCAGATTCTAATTTACAGTAATAGAGAGAGTTGCGTTATTATCGACGACACTTATCTTTCATAATTACGGAACGCTATCGAAGGGTCAAACGAAAGCTTCTCGGCGAGGCCTATGTGAACGAGACGACGCGATATAGCTGGCACATCGCCGACGTTTAATTAAGCCATCGTTCCTCCGGGTGAACGGTTAACTAAGCGGCGGCGCCTCCCATATACGTGGAACTCGTATTGGGCAGAAGACCGCGCACTGGGATTAAACGGATATTCACACACGCGAGACCACACATCGCGCTCTCCGCGATCCTTATCGTATTCTTGCATCAGCCGAACCGGGAAGAATTCTCTCTCTCTCTCTCTCTCTCTCTCTCTCTCTCTCTCTTTTTCTCTCTCACTAGCACAGCACGCGATTTTAATCGTATAGAGATGTAGCCGGTGGCGCGGCTGCGGACATTGCGGCATAACTTAATGACACTTAACGTTAATTGCTCGCTAAAATCGAAATACCGAACGATTATTACCCCACCGCGGCCAAATTGTGCGATCGTATACGCGGCGAACGCCAATGAGAGAGGGTCCAGTTATTAGCATTGTATTAAGATATTGGATAAATAACCGGCACGTGTAATAAACTGTATACTAATGCATGACAAAAATTATCTCTCGCACACAAACGCGAGATTTCACGGCGACGCTCTTAAAGAAACGTTAAGTTAAGCCTCGCGATTGCGCGCCCGGGCCAAGAAAACGTCAATTAGCGCCCGCGGATTCTTCTCTCCCTTCCCCTTGCGATAATGAAAACGGCCGCGGGGGAACGTGCCCGAGCGCGAGTGAGGCACTTTCGCGAGAGTCGAAATTAGCCCGGCCGTTCCTCGGGGTCTCTCTCTCTCTCTCTCTCTCTCTCTCCTCGAGAGAGAGAGAGAGAGAGAGAGAGAGAGTACGACGAGATAATCCCGGATATATTTCGGCGGGCCGAGGGCATGCTTTCGTAATCCCGTTTGCTTCAGTCCCGGGCAATCATCGTTCGTCTTTGTAATTTTTAACTAATGACAAGTCTGACACTTCGCCACTGCCCGTCCCGATCATTATCAATCCCCGGTGAATAAAGATTTACCGCCGCGGCTGTCCGCGCCGCGTAAAAGCCGCGTGAGCTACGGCACTTGGAGTGCAAACTCGTTCTACGTTTACGAGTATTGCATCAGGCGTATACAAAAGATTTGTACATTGATCGTCGGACGAAAGTACGGATCATTCCATTATAAAATCAGCAGGTGATGGTAAAATTAAGGACGACATTTTTATGGTTTCTTTACATTCTCCGAATTCCATCACTTTTAAGTAAATGTAATTTATGTACATTTTAATTCTTTCTTTTTTTTTTTTGGTGTTTCGAATTGACCATGCAGATGTATTTCTTATCTAAAAATATTTATTACTTTGTATCGATTAGTAATAATTAATTATTAATAAGATTCTTCTTTTCCGCTATTTATACGACCAAAATATCTAGTAAATTTCAGAAAAAGCTAATCATATAATTGCTAGAGGTGCATTACGTCACGTGTATTAGTGTAATTAATTACAATCATATTAATTACACTGATACCGTGCTGATAATACCAATTACACTAATGACATCTAATTTCAAAAGTTACTTAAAACTTTCGAAGTAGCGATAAAATAACATTTACGTTTTTCCTCTCCTATCCCGGTGTTATCTTCGCCGTCACGGTGTATCCCAACGGAGGAGGAAATATCGTCCCTCCCACGTGGAAGCGGCGGAAAATAATTTGTGGCTCAATTAGAGTCCCATAACGCATTGGCGATGACGCTACATACCGGCGGTCGGACCCACCGGGGGCCGCGGCCGACTAGTTCTCCGCTTCGTATCTCATGCCTCCTGGAATGCACTCGAGAGGCCCCGCGCCGATATACGTATACCTATATCTACGATATACCCCGGGTGTATACCGATAACATTCGAGGAACCCCGAGAAGACCGGTATCGTGAGGACGCGGCTTATCGGCCGACGTGTTTATGTCTCCGCGTGCGCCACGTGGGTCGTGTGCTGGTGCCCGCTCCGGATCCTATTCTCTCTTCCTGTCACGAGTCACCCTGCAGTCCGAAAAATCGATGACGATCGATCTCTCGTATGCATATTTCGTTTGCGTACACGCGACCTCATCGGTAATTTAGATAATCACCACTAGGCGACCAGCGTGTCATCTCGAAGTGAGTTCTTAGGATTGTTTATAAGACTCTTGAAAGAGAAGGATGTGTCGAAAGGCCATGTCACGCGGTAAAATTGCGTCAGCAGAGAATTTCGATCGAAATTCCGAAGAGATGAAATTTGAGGGAATTTTGTTCGTGTTATTGTTTCGTGTTTCATGTTCAATTTCACATACTTTATGCTATACTTCTTATTTCGTCTACTTTTAAGACATTTAAAAAAAAAAGAAAAAATTTAACCTTTCTCCTATAATTCATAGGCGCGTTCATCCGCGCGAGATTACTATTCCCTGCAACGAAACGCGAGTAAACATTTAATTAAAACCCCAGCGTTTTTAATGTCAAGTCTCAATAGCGTAATCGGCGCGCGTTATTTATCACCACCGTCGAGACCGGCAGCGAGATTTACAGGGTACACCGACGAGAGAGCTCTAGGCAAAGGTGTTATTATATTTAAAAGGCATGTGCATGCCTAGAAATATACGAGGTTACCGAATCGTAAAACACGCGTTCGCAAATATCGTTCTCGATATTTGCGCGAAACGGTGAACGCGCGCGCGGGGTCGTAAAGGTATGCGCATGCAGAAAATCGCGACGGCGGCAAAACTGCGGCCCTAAAATAAAAATCCTTCTACCGTGCACGTTGCGCGACTGGAGGCGGCAGTTATACGCGTGCAAGCAATAATCCACCGGGCATTCTCTCTCCCGCCATTGGCCGCGAGATTTTTCATCGTGGGTGCCGCGGGTGCAGCGATTGGAGGAACGCGTGGCAATAATTTATGGGCCTCTCCTCGAGTGCCCCGAGAGCGCGATTTCCCGTTCGCAGAAATTACGCCGTTACATTGTACGCAAGGGCGTCCGCCGCCCGTGTTCCAATGTCCCGGTACCATCATAAATTATAATGAGACATTGGATCGATCGTTAATAAGCCATCGCGAGTTGAATATCAATTCCGCGCTGATGAATGACGAAAGACTCTTTTAAAATGCATAAAAAATTCTGTTCTACTTGGCTTTAATCGCACTCGGGTATGCAAGACGCTGTAATAAAGCGCGGGCGGTAATGTAACGATATCACGGGATCTTATATCTGTATCCCGATTTTGTAACTTTTAATGACGGTTTCGATATCGTTATATTGTTCCAGGTATTCTATGTGTAAAAAAAGCTGCATAACGACAATATAACGATACCAATTGTCGTTAAGAGTTACAGAATCGGGAAACTGAACAATTAAAACTAATATCGTTAAATACTTCTGCAAGGACGCGGATCTGCACAGTCATGTGAGCTTAGCGAACCCACCGAGCTCGACATATTGCGAACACTCACATACATCTACTGCAATGAATGATTAGAGAACAATACATGCAAAAAATAACGAAAGAAAAAAAGATGCAAAAGTTAAAAAGGAAAAAGAATGAAAATAGATAGAAATATAAATGTATACATGTTAATACATATTAATTTATACATATATGTATATAAGTTCTTTTATTAACTTAAAATGCTAAAAATTTTTTTTAATCCACTAAATGCCTCTATATAATCTTTATTTTTAAAATTATCTTACTAAAGAGATTATTTATCGATAGAGGAGAAAAAGAAAGTCTCGACTTACTCTCGCTCCTTTGTAAGATACATTGCTTTAAGACGACTCTGCTTATAATTCATTCAGAACTCTTCCGTGACTTTACTACTCCATTCATTCAGATTAGTACATCCGAAGAAGAGCACGCGCTTTGGCACACGCCGTGTTTTCGACTTTTACGCGCTCGTAACGACCCGCGAATCGCATTCCGACAAGATTTTATCGCCTGTTTCGACTAACGTTAAGCGTTACAAACATCGCGCGGATAATATACTTCGATACTTCGAACGAAAGTTGTAGATGCGAACAAATTCGATGAATACTGCGCCGTTTGTCCTCGCATTCTTCTCGTTCAAAAAAAAAAAAAAATGAAGAAATGAAAATCTCGAGATACTTCGCAAAAAATTTAATTACCTTCGTTAATTCGCGATTAGTCGCGACAAATACCTGTCATTCCCGTCGAGAGGGAAATCGGTGCTAATGACTCTTCAGACGATCTCCACGCGTTTGACGACCAACCGATAATTATTCGTGCTTCCGGATAATTTAAATGGATAGCGACGCCAAATTAAACCTCGAGCCGCTGAAATAGCAACGCGCTGAAACGGCCGGTTCGCCTTTGCTGGCAATCATTAACGGCAGTTTACACGATAAACTCGCGACGGGACTCGTATATAGCAGCGGCCCGTATTTACCCAGCCGTCAATGCAACGCTCGTATCATTAGCATAGTCTTTGTGCGTTTATAAGGACCGGAGGCACTCCCGGCTTATTGCAAAGTGCCAAAGGTGGTTTCAACACCGTCGTCCCGCCATTTATCGAACGTTTTGTGAGAGTCACTCGACCCTCGCCCGCTCGTCCACTCGATTTTTGCCGATTCCGTTGCATTTCGTTTCGCCGCGCTTCGCGACTTGCAAGCCTTCACATACATTACATAACATTTGCATTATAATAACGTTCGATATACATCCGCATCCGCTGAACTCTCTCACACCGATAATTCCTCATATTTTCCGCTGATATAATTGGTCGAGCGTCACAACGCGGCGAGAGTGTCACTTTGTCATTCTCGAGGCGATCGTGACAACGATTTGAATCTCTAACTACACGCGATTCGTCCTTTTGATTTCTGGTCATTCAACGAAGGGAAAAGCATAACGGAAGTTGTGCCCACAATAGCGTTTAATATCGCGCATCACATATCGGTGCGCGCGACGCGCACGGCGCGAGTCGAACGAGCGCGATGTGATTTTTTTTTCCCCCCGTGGAAAGGCAAACACATCGTGTGGAGCGCATGACAAACGGCAACTATCGAGTGTCTGTTAGAGATAGGTAAGAAGCAATGAAAGGTCCTCCAGCGTGCCGCCCGGCATAATGAACGTTACGGCCAACGCGGCGAAGTGGCTCGCACGGAAGGGCACCGCGGACTGTTTAGACAGCGAATGCTTCGCCATGTGTTATGATTGACGTGTATAAATATTTGGTTAGTCGCCTTGCCGTTTCGTGCCTTGCGTGCGTATAACGTGCGTGCATGCGTGCGTGCGTGTGGCGAAGCACGATGCGTAATCGTGCGTACGCGCGGGTTATACGCGCTCGCGTATACGCTCGAGACCGCAGGACTCTTTCCCTCCTACTCCTTGACGCGGCAAATTAATGACGACGCGCTCGTTATACGCGCCACGTGAGATCTCACAGATGGCCAAGCCGAGTGTTAGCCGACAGATTGGAGCGGAATCGGGAATCTGAAGAGGGCAAGCGCGTCATAAATTTTTTTTTCCCAATGTACTACTCCCCGCGAGTCTGTCGCAAAGTCGCCATTAAAGCGGGAATCCGGACAGACGCGACGGTTTCCGTAAAACAAGTACCTCTATCGGTGTCCCATTGCGAGACACCTGTCCTCGGCGGTCGGAGAGCGCGACGTCGCGCGGTTGTTTGGTATGTCGGGGACGGGTAGAATGTTAATTGGGAAAACGAGGAAGCGCGCGACACGCGCTTTTTTTTAATACGTTTTTTTTTTTCGTAGCGCGTTGGTCGCGGTAAACCGCAGAGCCGACTTAACGAACGTCGACTCTGTTCTGCGGTTAACGTCCTTCTCGTTGGTACTTTCTTCTCCCGCAACGCGATCGTGTATCAAGTTAGACCCCGTACGAAAAAAGGAACTACTGGAGGACGACGTCCTCCCCCGACGGCGAAATACACCCACTCACTCACTAAATCATTCGCGCGAGAGCACGGGGCGAGCCGCGCGGCTTTTAGAGACCCAACCCCTTTTATATTGTACGCCTAACTACGATTCGTAATATGTTATTTCCAAATTATTTTAAATTACACACCACGACGAACCCATGCGATAATAAGGAGACGGAGGCGAGCCATTCGACAATATCTTCTTGCGAGGCGTTCGTTGGGCACCTGAAGCATCGCGCCGAATTGGTGAACATCAGCTTATGCAAATTCTATATACGCAAATAAATCGCATTTGCTTTTTTTTTTAATCACTGTGCTACCAAAGATTCGATATAAACAACTAAAGTAGAGGCAAATTATAATTTTTGCATGATAGATCAGAAAACTTATTTCGACAAAATTACAGCTTATATCAAAAGCCTGCAGTATATTGACGTATGAATTAGGCCCGAAAGTTTACGAGTTGCTTTAATGCGCTAACCGATACATTAGCATTTGCGTAAAAGCCAGGTGCGACGGTAAAGTCACGCGTATAGTTTCTGGTCCGTTGCCAATCGTCAATTTTAGCTTTTCTTGTATATTAAATCAGCGATAAAGCGTGAAATTTTAGCTCCCACTGTTAGAATCGCTAACCACTAACGACACGGATGATTCAACGCAGCAGACTGACCGGCGGCTTTGAAATCGATACCAAAACTAATCGCGGCCAGCATTCGATCTCATTGGAAATCAAACCGTGCAGACGTGTATCGATTGAACAAACAAGAACTATATTTCCATTCAGTTATTCTTCGGTTATTCACAATGACTTTACCATCGGATAACTCCACGTTCAAAATGACGCTACTATAAAAATTATATTCCTGCGCTTTGCACTTTGGACTTTAAGATCTCATACACCTTGAGGTTCAAAAATCGAAAACTTGAGGATTTCTCGCTTCTAAGACTTCTCATTTTTGCTCTTAGAATAGACGGTATGATCCGTTTATTACGATAAAAGACGCACTTTTGTGGGAATTTAAACGTGTTCTTAAAGCTCCTGTCCGTCTCGCGCCCGGCGTGCTCGACGACACAGCATTTATGATGATCCGAGGCAATCAGGAATACATTGCTCGTTCTCCGAAAAATCGCGATATCTTCATCGCGTACCAGCGGCGGCATCCGACATTCGCACAAATCGGCGGGGACTCGTCGTCGAACGTATATCGTCGTCACATCGTCGGCCGGGATACGCGAGCGCGGTATATACGCTGCAGCCCCGTTTAACGTCGCGTTAAGAGGATTATTTATTGAAGGCATCGGCGCCGATGCAGACCGATTAGCATAGTAATGCCGCTGTGAGAGGCTGGCCCGGCTGCCGCTGCTGCAGCGTGCCGGTTTACGCGCGTGTGCGTTGCGTCGCTAATCTACCATTATTAAATTATCGGTGCAGCAGCCGCGCGGTGCACCAATGATTATCATTTATCAATATCACGGGCGTAGTAACGTCGCGAGATCGCCGCCGGTCTCGTGCATCTAGACGTCGTCAGCAACGTAATGTTATGTAGATATAACACCGGTATGCGCGCGAGACGTCGACCGGAGATGTTGCTCTTTCTCTCTCCTTCCGACGTTGCTAGCCTGGACGTGATCCTATATGTACGAACGGCGTGCGGTCTTATACGTTAAATCGATCGCGTTATGTCGATCAATCGATCGTAATGGATGAACGAAGATTTTATAACGCAAATTTATTATTTAAATTTCTAAACGAAATACAGCTTGGTCGTTTCATCGCCCGATTATCGACAAAGTATGTTTATTTTATTATACAAACGCATATAATGAATATCTACGTATTCTCGTCGAAAATTTGTGTCATGTCTCACTCGAGAGATTGCAGCTTCGAATATTATAATTAAAGAGAGATCCCAGCGCGAGTGTTGACGCGTTTAAATGAGATGACAATTATACCAAAATAAACTGTGGGAAAACGCGAGGAGGACGACGTCCAACTGCGACGAAATGCGACGAAAGGTGGAAGATTTCGAAAGAAAATTGAAAGAGAGACATGCAGCGCGCGATCCGCGTCGTAATCTCAAAAGTTTATCGTGCATATTCGTGACAGCGAAAGAAGGAAAACGTAAGAATAACTCTACCCGGCGGTCCGCCGTGTGTGCACACCGTCTATCTCAATAATATGCTAATTACGCACGCGGCGGGCGGTACTTTACGATCGTTACGTAGTTGCTGGACATTGTAATTATTGTCTCGCTCCTCGCTCATCCGGTACAATGCAACGTCAGGGACGCGCACGCTCGTCGATTGTTGCATCAATCGACGAGCGTACGGGGGCAATCGTGAACGATTGTAATTATGGGTGACCTTATGCACTCCGCATGCAACAGGCACACGGATTGGAGGATTTTATTAAGAGATATATCCGTGGAGAGGCTACTGTTAACACTCGGCGTCGAACAGGTTGTCGATTGATTCTCTTCGAAAGATAATTTAACGAGACAATTGACTGAAGCCTTAGATTGTATACTGAAGATTGGAGATTGCAAATTAAAAATTAGAATTCGACTAATCAATTTAATTTTTTAATCCGTTTTGTTTTGCTGGGTTGAGAATTTTAATCTTCGATTCACAATCTGCAATCTCCAATTCGTAGCCCCTTACATGCTAGACTGATATTTAACTTGATCTTTTTCCTAAGTTTTCAAGTTACACATTTTTCTTATATATGTATATAATTCTCTAATTCTCGCATTGCTCATAAATGACAATTCGGCAAGATTTATCTTGCAACTAGAACTTACCGCGACGAGGGTGCTGAGAGCTTCAATTCGCATAGTAGCTGGCCAGGCCAGCAAGGAGGCCGTAGGTTGCGAGCTGGTGGATCGATTCGCTCGTATCGATCCTTCGGTCACCGATTCCTCGGCTGCCGGCGTTATTCGGCGGTCCTAAGTATACCGGGTCGACGACGATGGCTCTCTCCCGGCTCCACGTCGATTTCTCGTGATGATCCGTCGTGCCGATCCGGCGATGACATGGCTACCGCGCCGGCAACCTATCGACAGAATCAATAAACATATAGGTACGCACGTATTTTACTGGGTCTCTTACGTTGCCGCTAATCGCGACCAGATAATCATTGCCAAATTATCACTCCATCCGAATCGTTATCAAAACTCGCGATCGATTATTTTCATTTCGTGATCATGTCGCGCGTTATTATTATTAACTTTAATGGTTGATTCGAATTGAAAATTCTGAATTTAAATACATATTATAATATCTTGCTAATATCTAGAGACTGAATTTGATTGTTTAATTGATAATTATTATTCCACAATATTATGTAAACTAATCCACAATTGTATTCTATATAACATTAAATGCGAATATAATACACTTTAATCCCGAATACAAATGTGCAATTTACAAAATTTTACGCATTTCTCTTTTTTTTCGCAATCGTAATCGCACATTCTCACCTTTCACGCAAGAAAAATCTTCGGCAAATTCTATAGCAACTTGTCACTTCAAAACCTGATCAAACAAGATCTTCATGTGATTGATTCTAAATGCGCAAAATTTTCATATAAACTGACTGAAACTTCGATTCTTCAATGAATCCTTATCCGCGAAAATCGCGAGTTAATCGCACGAACGACATGAAGAGTCGCAATCGCGTGAATCGACAGGACGACGCGTTCGTCGCGACGTGTCACAACCGACTGGACCCGATATTCGAGATTTGCCGATAAAGTTAACGAGGCTGAATGCCGGCGTTTCGTGCAAACGTGCAAGGTGCGGGCGTCGTTTCGTCACGCGATTCGCAACGATGCTGCGAATCGGTATCTTATCTTATGCTCACTTGTCTCCGACGATCCCGGCGATTACGTCGCTCGGCAACGTGTGTTACTGACCTACCGGACAGGAATATATTCCCTCGTGAGAGGATCGACAAATGTTTCGAAAACTTTTTCCTTTTTTTTCCTCTCTCTTTTCACGTTATCTTAACGTTTTACGTTACATCATGCCTTATCTTACTTATTTATGCGCTCTATCGCGCCATCGATTAATATATGATAAACTGCGAAGTGAATGATAATCCTGCCTGTTGTGTCTAAATCCCGATAATTCTGCAATCGCATAAAATTCTGATTGATAAAGATGAGGAGCGGGGAACGCCATGCATAACAGCATGGCGGTATCGGCATCTACGCTCTCCTGGCATCATTCGTTATGTGAGTTAATGACTCTCGAGAAATCATCGATTGGTCCCCGTCTGGAAGTCGCGACGCCTCTCACACGGTGGAAACACGCCTTCTCACCGTTCCGTAATGGACGGGACTTCACGCGTGCGCGCGTTCGTTCGAGCGAACGAAACGGAACAAACTATTTTGATAGCCGACGAGATGCGAAGGAAAGCCGACGCCACCGATCGCGAGGGCCCCAGCGGGCCCCATCGCGGGATCCCTCGCGAGATCGGGCGAGGTGACTCGACTAGAAACGAGGTCCGTCCGCAATCGCGCGTTTCCTCACTCGTCGCAAATTAATTCCGAGCGAAATGCCGAGGTCGAGCTGGTCGTGTCGGTTTCCGAGACACGGGAAGAAGATGGACTTAGGAAAAGGTGGCTTTCAATGCTTAATCCTTCATTAGTCGCGTTAGAGACTCGATTAGCTAAACGCACTCCGTATGTAAAGTGTAAAGAGTGCTGTGTAACAAAAAAAAACTAAGTTGTTTGCATCCGTATGCAAAGCGTGAGGAATACTGAATGAAACAAATTTGTTAAATAGTTCGAAGTGAAGCATAATTCCATTTCTCTTTTTCTTGCAATAAGTCTATAAAAGGAAGTAAACCTAGTTACTTGTTATTCGAAATTAAATTTCAAAGATTATATAAAATTGTCAATCTTTTATTATATTTATTATTAGTAGCTAAATTTACCACGCGACACAATCAAACATATTTATCATAGACAATTACAAATAATTACGGAGCGATTCGATGACGTAGATGTTCCATGGCGAGGCGATCGGCCCCCGGGTGTCCTCGTCGCCCCGCGGGCTTGCCCGTCGTCATGAATCATCGGCGTCCTCCTTCCGCCTGATTATCAAAATAGTGGCATTCATTCGATTCCCGATCCGGCATTTATTTGCTTCCAGTAGGCGGAGTTCGGGGATGAAAGCGGACCGGCACGATGTGGCGTGTAATCGTAAGCCGATTAGGGTTATAATTTCGGATTATTGCGCCGACATGGCACGGTGGAGGTGTAATACATATGGTATAAGTATCGTTGCCTACAGTGAGTCACGACGTGTGGAATTCGTTTTGATAAGATGCTCGAGCACGGTCAGTGAAACGTGTCACATTTCTTATCATGGTGTTTCCCCGGTATAAAAGGGCGACGGGGAGGGAGCAGTGAGGCGCGATAAAACGTAATTCTCTCGTTTCGTCACCGAATGCATTTATCGCGGACTGTCGCGCGGATACGCGGAATTCGATCGGTTTGCATTCCTTCGCGATTCGCGCATCGTTTCCCGTGCGTGTACCTGCGTGTATACCTACACCGGCACACGTGCACGACCGATCTCGCGCCGATTAACGATAACCAAACGGACTTTAGCGCGCCGTTATCACGCGCTACCGCTCAAGCAACGCACCGCACGTGAATTTACGGCCGATTGCCGTCGCGGACTGTCGACGAACACGACCGTTCTAATGATCAACCGCAATTTTATGCGCGAGTTAGAACATTCTTAAAGCTGTAAGGATAAAAATAATATTATTAGCAAAGCGTTAATTGAAAAGCTTGAAGCAATCGCTCTATGGTCAGATTATGACGGAGATACAATTATATACAGGTTTTATTTACAATTATAGAGATTGAACAAATACTGAACACTTAAAATTTTATGTAGTATACATAAACTTTATTTTAAAAAATCTAACCGTAATTAGAAGAATACGATAAGAATGGTACGAGAAATACTTGTATTGCTCTAATAACTTCCTTAACAAAATTCTATAGTCGATAACCAACAAAACAGCATTGACTAAATAATATCAGCTTTAAAAATGCACCTAAAATGTCATAAGCAATACCGGCATTAAGGGTATATACAACCATAGCAGAGAAGTGAAGTGGTTATAATCCTCTAAATCCCCAATAAATCGCCCGAACAAATCCTAAACCTACCAGTCCTGTGTGATAATATGACACAATAACTGTATTGTCCCGACAGTTTGATTATGAAACAAGATTTCTACCAGGAAGTAACCGCGCGGATTTAATCTTAAAGATCAATGTCGCGTGGCGGTGAACGGTGGTCGTTGTTGATCGCGGAAAATGAATTTTTAGTAAAAAGCGTGGCCAATCTGAGGACTATACTTGACACCACGTTGTCCATTCATGTGAAAACAACGCCGACTTTCTCTTTACGTTTTCGCCCTATCCTTCGTTTCTCGTTCGTTCCTCAAGCGCGCGTACAATCAAGGTCCGTCGAAAGAACCCCGTCAAGCCGGACGTGCAATCTCCATCGATCGATGTCTTAACGATCCCGATGCGGCAAGATAAACAGTCGGTCTGCTCTCGAAGACGCAGGCACGACGCAGGCCTCGGTGGTTTAATTACGGCATCGTTTACGAGTAATGAACGAGACGTATAATTCTCGCGTGGTGACTTGCAATACTGATAATTTGACCTGCATGAGTATTCTCAATGGCTTATAGCTGGTTATTGCGAGATTATCCCAGGCGGGATCGCCGTTAAACATTAATATCCCGCCGAGCGGAACAAATCGCGATTATTGTATCCCGGCCGATAGTTAAACGCGACTAAACCCAAATAACGGTTGCAATTTCTTTTCGATTATGACAAGATATGAGCGATACGGTAGAGGTACGTAATGACGTAAGAATAGCTCGCGATGCAATTTGGTAGAAATAACGCTACGGTTGTAAGAGAACTTTAACCGACGCGATAAGCGCGCGACACATAATTTCAGAATTTTTGCACCGTCGCGAGAATTTCGCCCGAATAAACCTGCGTGACGTGTGTGATCGGGATTTTCCTATCACGAAATCCGCCGCGTAACGCATCGATAAGTACGAAGTACATAGAAGCCCATTGGCATTTAAACAGAGGCGGACTCGCCGCCGCCAGGGTTTGCATTGAGTCATTTATCGGCGGCGGCGCCTAGCTACATCGCGATAAAAACATCGTGGAGAATGCGTTAAGCTTGGTTAACCGGCGCCTTCTATCTCGCGAGCTGTCATTAGTTTATTACCGTTAACTTTCACGGTAATTACTACATACGTCGGGCCCTTGGCGAGGAGAATGCCGATCGTATGAACACGTGCAGTCAAACAAATTGGCAATCGAGAGAGAGAGAGAGAGAGAGAGAGAGAGAGACTGGCTTTTGGAAATGTTGTCCGTATATTCTTTCAATTATTCAGTCGATATTTTGTAATCGCCAACTAATCGGGAATTAAATCCATTTCGCGGGAATCTAAGAAAAGTTCAGCGCCATTCGGTGCAATAAGCTGTTCCCGACAATTCACACATTTCGCGACGTCTCGCACGTCGCGATATATTCTCTTTATACGACCTCTTATTGTGACGTTACCATTCTTTCCGCCCACGCGACGGAATCCGCCTTAACGAATCCGCAATTTTTAATTTACACCGACAGCGATCTTAGGATAAATAATGAGACATAGTTTCCGCAACCGCACTCGTTAAAATCAGCATGAACTCCGTTTGCAAGCTTTTTCCGCGTGAGAAAATGTCGTCGTTTACGATTCTTAACTTTCTTGCTCGACACAATCAACGATCTCGTCCTCCTTGATCCGATAAATGAGATCGGTTATATGTTGTCGTCTTTTTTTGCAGTAGGCTTCTCTTATACTCTACTTATACTATTATAACTTCATTAATCATTTTAAAATCTGATAGACGGAAAACGTACATATCATGGATATTACAGTGACTCATCTATGTAATTTGATAAAAAATAGTTTTTTCTTTTTGCTCGCCTTGCTACAATTTAGTATAATTT